GTTTAACGGTTAGGGTTAGGTTTGGGGAACAGGTATAACATAATGCACCCGTTGAACTTGCAGTGGTTGTCAGAAAAGAGGTTTTAAGTTGGTCATGATTTGGAATAAACATTTCGCATACTACTGACTAACTTTTGAAACACAGATGAAACTTCAAAGATGTACCAATTACAGAATAATGGAACAACAATTGCGAGGTACCGGTATCGTAACTAATCCCCATAGATGTTTGTCTGGTCGTGAAAACTAAATCCCACACACTTGTTGTTTTGGCAAATTGCCGATACCCATTCCCCACCCTTTGCACGAATTTGTCTCTTCGTAAAAAATCAAAAGACATTCAGGTGAAGTTTTCTCAACATTGATTGTTATGATTTCGTTGATTTTATCTGATTTTGACCCAGACTTCTTTCCAAAAAATGTTCGTTGCGTGCAATTTCAGCCGGAACAAGAATTTTGAAAAAAGGTATGATTTTTGGATTGATAATTTAGTCCCTCCGTAAAAACGCTTAAAACCTTTTGCAATTTGATTCAAAAATTTCAAAACTATTTTTTAAAAGACTTAAATCTAAAAATTAATGTGGCCTGACGTTGCGAACTTAGCAAGTTCTTCTTCAGAGGCTAATAAAACAGAAATGACAGAGGCACATGCATTAACAAGGGGGTGCACACAAACATGCAGGGGTGAAAGAAGAAACACAAAAGGAGGATTAGGTGGGAAAGGTGTGGAAAGATGCAGGGGAGGGTGGATGAGAGAACACAGAAACAAAGGGAGATGGCAAACCACAAGGGGTCTGGTATGAACAGGGGAGGGACCAGAAAGACTTGTCATGCTTACTGCTTACTGCTTACTTACTCTGATTCGATTTTTAAAGAACGGGTTTTTGACTATGTATTAGCCTGGGGGAGATTATAATCTGGATTGTTTGTTTTGCGTCTGTTCTTTGACGACTCTTCGGAATTGCCCCCATGATCTACCCCTTTCGTGAAGTTGGCATCAAGTGTATTTCCTTTTATTTTCATGCCTTTGTTGTTATAACTTCTCGACATTATTGACAAGTGGTGAACATTCATATTCGTACTTGTATTAGTCATCTAAATTAAAAGCAAACACATTCTTGTCCTGGTGTAAATCAAAGAGTAAAAACAGTAAAAACAGCATGCAAGAACTGACAATAGTAAAACTTACATTTAAATTAACCTATGAATAAAATATGCCTGTAAAACACAATAATTTTTAAAATGATAACATAAAGACTGATAGCAAAAAGACACGATGCCTATCCGCCCTGGGCTAGCACTATGACAATGAAATATAACTTTAAAAATATGCCGGGGAAAAAAGGATAAAGAACTTTAAAAATGTTTTTTTTTTTCCATCGTCGTAAAATACTAAAAACCACAGGTGCAGATTTTGAAAAGTTATTAAACTTAAATAAAGTTATTTTGTACTGTGTTTTCCAGTGGCTAATTCACAACAAATGATGTAGAGATCTAAACGGTCTTTCATATTTGCTGTATTATTATGTAACTTTGAATATACATGTAATGCCAAATTGCATTTTGGTCAAAAATAAAATGAAGCAAGCTTCGAGTCGAACTCCGATTTGAAAAAATTGACTTGAAGCTCGCCGATCCCCTGGATCATCCAATACATGTACATACACGTATACGTATTTGTATGCAGCATGTATGCATAGTGCCTTGCCGTGGCGTGGGAACGTATCAGATTACATATCGGCCGACCGCAATATCGATCGGTTCAAAAATAGATGGTCCGCGCGGGAATTGACCTGGATTGACCCGCAAACGTTCGGGTTGTCTGTGACGTAGGCAAGTCACCGACATATTTTTCTAAAAATGACTGCAAGTGCGCAGGCGTGCAAATTCCCGCACGATGCATAGGCCAAGTTCGTATGTGGTGCAGTGGTACAAATACAGCCAATCAAAAAAAAGTGTATTTTTTCAACAAAAAACTAGTAAAATAAAAAGGTGGGTCGTGCCATTGTTGTATTTACGGGCCAGGTTCCCTATAACGGTATAAGAGAACCTAGGCCTACATGCACCGCCATAGATAAACTTGGGCAGGGTTTTGAATTTTTAAGGGAATTTTGGGGGTAAAAAACTAAAATGACGATGACAACGACAAAATGCAACACGAAAATAAAGATGGCGATCACCACAATGTACCGTAAACGCGCAAGTCGCGCTGAATCACACGGCACCAATCGTAAAATTTCTACCCCAAGAAACTGTTCAAAATCCCCAAAAAAGGTGTCACTGGATTGAGAGAAGTCTGCTTTAGGTTGAAAAGATCATTTTTGAATGATAAAAAGAACCCTTGACTCTTATTTGATCGAAACTAAAAAATACTTCCAAAAACACGAGGTCGTACGTCACAGACTGTGTATGCATATTCATGAGTTTGCGCGGGCGCGCCTGCATATTGCATACATTACAGCGCGGCCGCCATCTTGAAATCGCATGGGGGATCGCATGGGTGACGATATTTGTGGAATCTGATGACTGAAATTCGTCTTGTGGCCAGATGGATGAAAATATTGAGACCAAACAACGTTTTTTCGAAAAGGTATGAGTTGTGCTCTACGACTACGAACCTTAACTTTTGAAATTTGTGTCCTGGATGAAAAGATAATCGCGATCGAAAGATGTAGCAAAATCGCTACATCGGCGGCCAACAAAATTCAGTCTCTGTGGAAGCATCGGGCGTCTGGCCGTACTACAGAGCTTGCGATAGTACTGTACGGCCAGACGCAGTCGGGCTAGGGTAAGCCTTAAGGATTTTTTTTGTATAGCAAAACTGCTATGCAAATTTTGATTTACATAGCAGTTTACCAATTTTGCATAGCAGTTTTGTTATACTCAAATTTAGCCTCGGCTTTGCAATTACTATTTACCTGTCAGTGTCAGACTGTACAAATTACAAAGCAATAAGAAGTAACTTACGTTAAGCTCTGAACTTAATGACTCATCAGTTGTCTGTTTATTTCAGGAGCTGCATGCTTGCTGGAATAACTTTCGAGTGAAAAAGCAATTTATTAACCCGGGCCATTCCTGGCCCGGGTCTAGATCCGCCTGCCAATTATTGGCAGTATTTGCCTTGATACTGGTAGTTTTCGTAGTAGCCATGTTTTCATCAATATGCTACACAGCGCACAAACGACAACACAGCTGGGATTTTGACGTTTTAGTTCCCACGAATCCCACGTGCGTATCAAGTGATTTACTTGAAGGGGTAAACCCGTTTTCCGTGTCGGCAAAATGTTTAAGATAAACCGACAAATATCTAAAGAATAGTGATGAGAAAAGGGCTTGATTTACCCGGGTGCACGCATGCACGTACCAGTGCATGTAGATTTTAGCTTGTGCACGTAGCTTTTTTGCTGAGCATGCACGACGTGCATGTAACTTTTTTAGCCACCAAAATACACATTTCATGCATATATTTACCAGTGAGTGAGAATAAGAATAACGTTTGTTGAATACTTGACCAGATAGTGTACAAACGTGTTATTTCTTTTATAAATCCATAAATTATTCCTCGCACAGTCGCAGCAGATTCAAAGTACGAGGTAAAATCTCGACGTACGTCCTGCAACCTCCTCTGATCGTGCACGTGATTTACCACGTGATACATGCTGCGGATAATTTGGTATCGCACTGACGCTCCGGGCATTCCTTATGTCCGGATCATAAGTGCGATTCCAAATTATTAGCTGCGTTTATCACGTGGTCTCGTTATCAGACGCCGCCTGTTTACAAACTAAACACGTACAGATTTTATACAGCTGAACAAAATTGACGTTCTTTTTCAGTATTTAAGCTTAACTAAATCAAAACATGGATGTTTACCATGTCCGATAGTTGTGGAATTTAGTGGACCGAAATTTGGTGGCAAGTACACTTTGTGTCAACTTTTCATGATCAAAATGTTGTATAGCAGTTTTGCGATGCACTTTAAAAATTGCGTCGCAGTCGGCCTCGAATGTGTCGCAAATTGCGATGCGATACCGCTTATTGCGGACCCTGCTCCTATGAATATTTAAACGTATCACAAAATTTTTAAAAATCTTAAAATGTGCAATTTTTAAGCAAAAAAATACATCAACAGTGTCTTTTTCCGCCAAAACTGGTCGCTATCTTGTATTTCTGCGACATGTACAGTCGCGCATGCTCGAAAGAGAAAACAAAAATGGCGGCACCCAGTCACCGTTATTTTGTTGTCATACAAATTCTGTTTTTATGTGGGATTGTAAACGTGAATTCCCCCAATTTCTTATATTATATGACGTGAGAGTTTGTTGAAAACGATGAAAGCTTTTTAAAGCTTTAATTAATGTGCATTTTGAGCTTTTTGACATTTTGTTGACGCTGATTGTGTTTGTTGACGCTTGTTGGCCCTTTGTTGATGCTAAAAAGCACGACCGAAAAGGGCCAACAAAGTGGCATTAGAAAGAGAACATCAATTTTTTTTTTAACAAGCTGATATGAAAGACATTTGGAGAAATGTTGCGTATCCAAATTTCCTCTCTTATTATGCCTATTATCAATTTGAAGGGTAGATTGCTCTGTGACTTTGACCTCTGCCCATACATGTGCATGTCATCAGGCACTTTCAGATTTTTTTTCTGGCCCTTTTGGAGCCTGGCTTTATTTTCAAGATGTCAGGTTGGCTTTCAGAAATTTAAAACTTCTAGAATTTTTGAAATTGGATCACCAGAAGTGGAGATATTTTACTTTTTACTAAAGTTAGGAATTCCCAAACTATTGTTGGGACTGGCCCAACTATTTAAGGCCATAGTTGGGGTGTAACAGGGCTACTTGCGTATGCCTAGAATCCTATCCTAATTAAAGGAAATTGCTGACTTATCATTTTGATTAAGATTAACATACAAAGTGTGTTTTGCCTTCAATTGTCCCAAGTCTTTAGTAGCTTCCCTTGCTTCTTATACGTGCTTTCCTTTTCATCTTTCACACAGCTCAGAGACAAAAGAATGAATATAGCCTCTCAGCGCAGTCAAGCAGTAGAAGAACCAAGAGAAATGTCTGGTCTTGAAATCACTGGGCAACTTGATCCTGTAAACATTAAAATGGAAGCTCTGATAGATAACGGTGAAGATGCTGCTCCCAGTACAACAGACCAGCCCACTCCTGTGACGATGTTACCACAAGACTCGATCTCTGACCCTGTCAAATCCAGGAAGTCACGCTCACGGTCCTCATCGAGGTCCGTGTCTCGCTCAAAGTCCAGATCACCCAAACCGTCATCCAGAAGACACCGTTCAAGATCGGAGTCCCCCAAACGCCGAAAACACTCCAGGTCCAGAACACCAAGGAGAAAGCGACGATCCAGATCCAGGTCCAGATCCCCGACCCCAAGAAGGAGTCATCGATCCAGATCCCGAACGCCAAAACGTAAATCCTCAAGATCCAAGACACCGAAAAGGAAGCGGCGCTCAAAGTCGAGAACGCCGAGACGCTCTCGATCCAGATCACCCAAGCGTCGACGTAGGTCGAGATCGAGATCTAGGTCTCGATCGCCTTCCCGGCGACGTCGTTCCAGATCGAAAACTCCTACCAGACGTAGGCGCCGTTCAGTGACCCGCTCCAGTGATAAAAGACGGAAGCACAGTCGCTCTAGGTCCCGAGACAGAAAGCGCAGACGCAGTAGGTCTTATTCTAGGGAGAGACGAAGATCCTCTGATAGTAAGTAACTGTTGCATATAACTGCATGCTATTTATGATTTTTTTTAAAAGGTTGCAGGTCTGAACTAGTTATTGAATTGCAAACAGCCAAAAAAAATTAGAATAGATTGAAATAGACACTAAGAACAAATTGGTGACGCCCTTGTCGTGGTGTAAACTACATGAATAAACATTGCAGAAAGTACCTCTAAAATCTCCTGATTTTTGTATTTTCCCCAAGGGTCAAGACGACGCAAGCATAACCGTAGTCGGAGTCGAAGTAGGAGCAAGACTCGAAGTAAATCAAAGAGTCTAAGCCGAAGTCGCAGTCCAAGTCCTCACCGGGCACGCAGTTCTGACGTAAGTCAGTTTTTTTTTGTTGATTGTGCTAATCTTACTTATCTATTTCTGCTTGTGTGAGCCAACCATTGCGTTAGGACAAGTGGATTTGTAAATTAAGACAGAGAGCAGCAGTACATTGTCATGAATGTAATTCTGAAAAACTGATTTGAAGTAGTATGCTTTTTTATGAAGTGGGTTGGCTATGCAAGAACTGGTGGGTAGAGGTGCTGTAGTGTAGGTTTGCTACCATTACGTCATAACGACAGCGATCTGAACTGTCAGTATGTCGCAGGTTAGGGATAACAAGGTCACCTGACAGTTACACATGACTGATCAAATTGACTGAGGAATCTTGCTGTTTAATGTGACCCCTTCCCTAGGACCAACTCAACAGCCTGGCAAGCAAACTGGATGTGCTGGCTGTGCAGGTTGCCCGGTTGGAGACAGTGCAGGGCAGCATGGTTCAGGCGCTGAACAACCTCATCCATCTAGTCCAGTCGTTGAGACATCAACAACAACCAACGGCTTCAGACAATGCCTGGTCCCCAAACCAAAGCTTCACCCTCGGTGGACGGACGGTGACCACCACCCCAAAGCAGATGTTCCCCACCCCTGGAGCTGTGATACCCATCCCCAAAATAAAACCTGCCCGTAGGAATTCCTTAGAGGGCAAGCCAGTCCTGGCCGGTCGAATTGGCCAGGACGATATCGTTCAACTCGGCCTGCCCCTGGCCGAGCCCCCGGTGCTCATCAACCACACATTCTTGCAAAAAGCACTTGGCGTTAGCCCCGATGCTAAAACCTATGCCTGTAAGCTCCTCAAGCATTTGTTCACCGAGGAGGAGATGTCCAAGTGTAACTTTGAAGGGCGTCACAAAATGCAAGGCGGCGTGACGGAGAAACTGGACCCCTTGCGCCTGAACGCCATCCTGTCGCAGGTAGAGCTGGATTTCCCTGGTTGCATGGCGCCGAAGGAACTGGCTTTGATCAGAAAAGCCGTCAACGCTGCGTGCCGGGCTGTCCGGTTTAAGACCAGGATGCAAAATCCCCCCTCAAAATGAACTGGATCTGAAAATTTTGGGAACTGTTCCTTCACAATTCATACACGCTCATACATTCGATAGTGATGTATGTACTCTTGAAATCTTGGATTCATTATTCGACTGAAACTTTGAAACACTTCCTACACTACAGCACCAACCTTCCACCTGTTTCTTGTTTTCTATTAAAAAAAATCAATAAAGGCTCTTGGTGCAAGCATGTACATTCGAAAAAGTGCCTTTTAAATTGTAAAGATGCATTTTGTACATAAATGAACCATTTTGTGGTTTATTGCTTCCCTTTTAATTTACTATCTTCGACCTGCTCACATGGTGTAGTCTTAATTATTGATAGTTCATTTGTTCTATGTATTGGTCTGGCTCACACTTCTCTTTTTATGTGCACGTTTTCTGCTTGTGTTGTATTTTTGCTTTTAGCAGTGAACTGTAAGTAAATATCAATTCCTCTGTAGTAATAGGTTTTCAGCGAATAAAGTTTAATGTGTAGGTAATTCTTTTCTGCACTTCTTTTCAATGCAGTGAATCTCGAAAAGTAAGATCAAAGTTGTGTGTATTTTTGGTTTCGCCTGTAATTTGAAGAACCCAAATCTTGCCATTCCCCTAAAGACAGCCGACTGTTCTGTCGTGGTTTTTGGGCAGCACATTCTGCACCTGGTATAATTCAAAACAATTGTGTGGCATGACTTCCCCTCGTAAAATCCAACCCTCTCCTTTTGAAAAGTGCATGTATTTTGGAAGAATTTTTCCCTTAGAATTTGAATCGCGAATGTTTTTTGGAAGAACATTTCTCAAACTTAAAAAAAAAAATTGCCCTACATACTAGTTTCAAAAATTGGATTTTTTTTCCCCGTCAAATGTGTTGAAAAGTAAAAGGGAAAAAAGTAAAAAGTAGCTATAAGACATGTAGGCTTAAAGCAAAACTTGGAAGATGTAGATGATAACCTGCTTTGCCATATACAATGAATATACCATTCAGCCTGGCTCACCGGCCCGTGAGTCAGTTGTTCCTGAGCGCCGGGATACCCACCCCGTCGTTGTTGACGCACCATCCACGGCAAAGCAAAGTACGCCACACCAGGTGAATATCTAAGTATCTATGTGCCCTGACAAATCCCAACATTCCCCCTGACTCGTACACTGACAGTATTGGGGGAACATATATATGTATCCCTTTGAACTTTTTACGAAAAAAACTGTTGTGTTGTTTATTTTCAATACAGTGGAACGCCGCTATAACGAACATCGCGGGATCCACAGAAAGTGTTCGTAATAATGATCGTTCAGTATAGCAATTTTGAACGGCCGGTACCCTCTTTTGACCAATAGTGAACTGGCATTTCTCACATCCCGCGTCCGCACTAAGAGTTGTCACAAATTTTAGCAACGGGTGGTTTTCCTTTTTATTCCTTGGGGAAATAATAATAATGTATGTTTGGGAACTAAAAGTGGCCCAAATAGCGTTTATACAACAGGTAGATTTTTGTTTAGTTGACTTTTTTCAACAACAATGTTCGGTACGTCTTGTACATTAGAACCGGGAGCAAAGGATGATGTTCGGTATAGCCGAATGTTCGGTAGAGCGGTGTTCCACTGTAGTTTCATGGACATTAGCTGTACATACATGGAATTCCACATGATACTTTTTCTTTTATTTTTCAAACAGTGGCATTCACCTCGTTGTTGTCTGTTTGTCATTGTTTATTAAAAAAAAATACATCAATCGGAACAAGTTGTTTCCTTGGTGGCCTCTTTGTGAAGTAGAAGTCATTCTCTTTTTTTTTTTAGGAGTTTCCAACGAAAATATTGTGGTAGGGATGACATGGTGGGTACATACTGACAAAATTTCTTCATAAAAAGAGGGATAACCGAAGCACCTGCATACAAACTTGCTTTCTTGTGCTTATTTGGTGAAAAAAATGTGTACCAAAGATGCGTCCAGTTTAATTAAAATCCTCCTTTTGTTTGATCAGTCACAGACGGTTCAAAATTTTACCTTTTACACAGGCTAGTCACCAACAGTCAAAATCATATTTCTTGTAGGCACTGTGACAGTCAAATTCCATGAACAGACAAAAACAGGTGACTAGTAGGCACAGCTGGCTTATCAATCTCCTATAGTCAAAGCATGGCTACATGTGCATCAGGTTTCATAACAATTACAGCCAGTCAACTGTTGCAAAATAGGCACTTGGTTTATTTTGACTGCTGGACTGGCCTTTGTTGAAATTACCAGCCAGAGGGGGAGGGTTCCTAAATTTAATAGAGCCACACATGATGATAATTGTTTTTCTGCCACTTGAAGCAAACCCAGCAGGTAACACACAGAGTGCCATACGTGTAATTCACATGAAATCAGACAAAGATAGCATGAATTCAAAGATAGCATTATACAAAATTTTGCAAATTGTTGCAAGGTCCTTGTTGAAAATGTATTGCCATGAGTGGGTGTAAAGCACAAGAGATTCTCCAGTATTTTGCAAAGCCTTTTGAAGGGACGGTTCATACGTGTTTGCGAAAATTAGGGATAGAGAAAGAAGTCGAAGCAATTTCATGATTGCAACAATTGTAGTATTGTGACATTTAGCATTGACCTAAATGCCCTTTTTTATCCTTTGCTTTGGAATTTGAATTAAAAAAGGAAGCGAGCTTGAACATTATTACTGTATTTGGAAATTTACTTGGATATATTTCCTGTTCTGGGATATTCTGGCTAGCATCGATACAACTTCTTTGAACATCAGTGTGCTCAATCTAGTACCTGTACTGTTATTTTTAATGTATAAGAAAAAAAGTACTGTTGGTCAAATAGAAAATGTTAGTATTGAAGGTAAATATTTGTGATGTTGCAAACGTTGTGAATGAGATGGTGAATTTGTGCGCTTTGAGATTTTGAAATGTATCACTCAGCTTGACAGTGTTATGAACAGAGTCCGGTTCCAAAAACACTAACACTGTTTTGTTGTTGGGCCATTTCCCTGAAAGAGCATTCTTCCCACAACAGGAGAGCAGCGTGTCCTCCTCGTCCCCGCGACTGGCTGACGTCAGCAGCTCCAAACTGAGGACGGTCGATTCCTCCAGCAAGCGAGCCCGATCGTCTTCGCTGAGCCCTGCCAGATTGAGATCTCCCTCTCCGAAGAAGACAGGATCCGAGTCTAGAGATGCGCGCTCCCGCTCCCGCTCCCCATCAGCATCCGGAAGTGAGCACTCCGTGTCTCCGTCCCCGAAGGCGAGAAAACAGGCCTCCCGATCAAGATCCCCATCCCCAAAGCCCAAGACGTCAAGAAGAGCCCGGGAGTCCAGGTCCCGATCTGCATCCCCTGCCAGGAGGAAGACGAAATCCGGTCGCAGGTCCCGGTCCCGTTCTCTCACACCCAAGAGATCCAAACGGAAATCACGCAGCCGCTCCCCAAAGCGGAGGCGACGCCGTGGCTCTCGCTCTCGATCGCGATCGCCCACGCCGGCAAGACGCAGTAAGTCATCGCGATCCCGACGGAGGTCCCGGTCTAGATCACCGCCCCGCAAGAAGTCCAGGTCAAGGTCACGAAAGAGGTCGCGATCCAAGTCACACAGACGGTCCAGGTCACGATCTAGGAAGAGATCACGCTCACCCAAGAGGCGTAGAAGATCCAGGTAAGTGACATGCTCAGAATAACTATGGCATTATCTTTGACAAATCAAGACAACAAATATTAATTTTATGCGACCCAATCCTATGAAGTGAGTTTAAAGGACAACTTGTCTTTTGTTTAATCAATTACATGCAGAAGAAAGTGCATGATTGGCTCCTTGTTGCAATATAACACTCTAGTTGACAAATCTAATGTAAGCTGAAAAAAATGGTTGCAATGGTTGATTGTCCCCCTGTTTTCCATTTTTCCAGATGCTATTAAATGGCCTATTACTCAAAAGTACTCCTGGTGGCTATTTTGATAAATCTGTCGCCAAATTTCTGTACAACATTTGCGTCATTTTGTCATGAATGGTCATACACTTCATATGATGACATTTTTTGCATCGGGGTGATGTATATCAAATTAGGGTTTGCCCTTCACCGACGTATTATTATTATTTTTTCCAACTTTCACTCAGGAGGTAACACACTAAGTATACAGTGTTAATACATTGGTGAAGGGCAAAACCTAATTTGATATGGTCATACACTTATTTGGAAGATTCTCTATTTCCTTGTATAAATATTGTTTTCTTGTGTAACAATATTCAGAGCAAGATGAAACAATGATGCTTTCTAATCACAGTGTCTGTAAAATCTTTACAGCTCAATCCCTTTAACCTTAAACAGAGTCTTCTGCAAGCAAAGCAGTTGAGAAATTCAGTGTTCAAGAATGTTCTATTATATATTTTCAGGTCACGCAGCCCACGCAAGCGAAGACCAAAGTCCAGATCGCGTTCCCCACGTCGCCGTCGCTCAAAGTAAATGTCATATCTATATTTGTGTTATTTTATCAGAGCTTACATTGTTAGGAATGAATAGCAGGTCATGCATGTCTGGAGTACTTACATTTTGACTGCAACTTTTTTTCATGATTATTTTTAATGTAAGAATCATATTTTATCAAGAGAAATGTAAAGAGTGTTTAAGACATCTGCATATACACATGTAAGGCAGGAAATTGTAGGTTCTTGCCTCATCCAAACAAGCTTGTGATTTTTTTTTTTTTGTAGAAAGCTGTCGGACAGCACTGAGTGAACAGTTCTTATAAATATAACGTTGGTGAAGGTATAAAACAGATAGTAACCCTAATCTCCTAGACTCTGTTGGCTAGTAACAGTCCTCAATCCTGCAAAATCCTCCAATTACCACCATGTAAAAATTGTATTCGACCTCAATCCTCTGAAATCATCCGTTATTTCTTAAATGTGTTCAGTGGAAGGATGACCATTGCCTCAATCCTTCAAAATCCTCCAGCATTCACTGTTAATGGGTTGAGGCAGTGCCGATGACATTCAGAAGCAGTGCGGATGATGTCGAGCATAACGCAGGGCTCAATTTTGCATGGCTGAACATAAACAATGCTGGGTACAGCCTACGAACTGAACACAATGAATCCTCCAAAATCAAGCAACACTAGTTTGTTGCCTTTCGGCCTTAATCCTCCAAAATTATCCGTTATTTCTTAAATTTGTTCAGTGGAAGGATGACCATTGCCTCAATCCTTCAAAATCCTCCAACAAACACTGTAATGGTTGAGGCAGTGCCAATGACATTCAGAAGCAGTGTGGCTTATATCGAGCATAACGCAGGGCACAATTATGCACGGCTCAAAATAAACAATGGGGGTACAGCCTATGAACTCTATGCCTTTTGGAGGATTGCGGAATAGGGTTAAAAAGTAGAACATTTGTTCAAATGTGGTTAATCATCGGTAAATATCCCAGTTTATCCTAATAATTCCATCCTGTTTTAGTGAGTCAGACATGACTGAGGCTTTGGCTGGTCAATGCACACTCTCTCCAAACGATCTGTTGATCAATCTTTCCCCTAGATCGAGATCCCCAAGGAGGCGTCGGCGCACTCGCAGCCCTAGTCGCAGCCGTAGCCGTTCAGTCTCCCCCATGACCCGGGTCAGAGACCCGGCCATGCATGCCCAGGAGGCCCTGGCGCGCCGGCTGGAGAGAGCCAAGAAGCTGATGGAGATGAAGGAGAAGCGAGACAAGGAGGAGAAGGTGAAGGCACTGAAGGAGGAGAAGGATACGAAGGACACAGCCATGGAGAAAGGTAGGGAGCGTCATAGAGCTATATTAAAATACTAGAGCGCTAACTTCGTGTACAGTGTAATGCCTGCTGGGCGCATCCATGTTTGTACCCAAACCTATGGAGACCTAGACATTTTGTACAGCTTTTGTACGGCTATTTGCGTATCTGCGTTTGTATTTCATACTGGTGCGTTATCGAAGCCAATACGCCCAAAACCGGAACGCACGATCAGCAAATGAGCGTGCCATTTTGCTCTACGCAAACAGCGCAACGCGTGCGCGTATTCGCTGCAGATGCTTTTTGCCATCACGCTTTTTGAACCGTCAATGACGCGCTTAAGGTGTTTGCGTGTGTTCTACTTGCGCGTTGCATGTAGAGTACACTTTCAAAATTTAGGCTAATCCATCTAATTTCATTGTGTTCTACAAACATGCACATGAATTCAAAATGTCTGCGCCCAGGACGGCTTCAAAGCGTCTCCGCGCACAGAATGGCGAGTTAGCGCTCTAGTAATTTAATAAAGCTCTATGGGGAGCGTTGACTTGTTTGCTGCTCTGTGGATATGAGCTTAGTGTCTTGTCAGGTCCTCCGACAGCTATGAGCAACTTCAGGCAAAGACTACGGTCAACCGTATGCAGGATTGTTGGGCTACTGTAGTTGACTATTTGGGACTGGAACCCAGGGCACAGTTGTATCACTGGTTACCAATAGCCGCATGCATCATAAAACAACAGGGAGCCGGAAGCAAGACGTTTTGTGATGTCATTTTAACCATCATTTGACTAGAGATGTAGGCATGTTGTTAGTTGTGCACAAATGTAAGTTATGTGTGCGTCGTGTCAACGCTTGCGTGGCTTCGCCAAATAAAAAAAATTAACTGCTAACAGAAATTTCCAACGATGCGTCTATCATTGGAAAGGCCTTCTTTCATTTATTTCTTCAAAATGAAAGCATGCCATAAAGAATAATTTCACGGGGAGTTTTAGTTCCCTTACTATCTTTCAACCAGGTATGTTTTTCAACAATAATTATGTCATTTACTGTTTGAAAAGCTGCAAATGATGTACCGTAGCTTTAATTGGTAAACTTATGTTCTTGTGTGTGTTTCTGAACAGAGATTGCCAAAGGAGTGGAGAAGGCCACCACAAGCCTGAACCCGCCTCCCCTGATGTCCCTGACCCCCATGGGCATAGACCCCTTGATCCAAGCCGCTGCAGCCGCCGCGGCCATGCAAGCCAAGGTCCTAGCGCAGACCGGCATCAGCATGCCCAAGTACTACAACCCGCTGACTGTCAATCCGGTACAGATCGCTGAGCAGACACGCAAGAGGAAGCTGCTGTGGTCTAACAAGAAGGATGAGGTAGGGAGGCTGGGGCATTCTGAAGTGATGGGACCGTGGGGGGGGGGGGGCAATGGGGGTGCTAGCCCCCTCCAGAAAAGCAAAAATAGGGGGGGGGGGGGGGAAAGATGCGCGAAGTCATATAGCTGTTAATATGATGGGTTAGGGGGAAAAATGTCCCTGTCCACCCTCGAAAAATGATAAATCGAGAATATGCTGCAAAACTACAGGGATTCTGGCGGGGGGGGGGGGGGGGGGTGCTGTGCCCCCCTCCAAAAAAAAATCCTGGCGACGCCTATGGTTTCTGGACATTTGAGTCCAACTATCTGAAACTAAAGGAGTATGGTGTTTTTCTTCTTGATTGTAGATGGCAGAGAAGGCATCCAGCAACCAATGGGAGAGGACTGCCTTTGACGACGATGCCACCAAGGCTAAGTTCCGCCGTCTGATGGGAATTAAGGAGGGTGAAGAAGATCCAGAAACTGGTGAGATGAAATTGCTGGCACTAATTTCAGGAAGGGGGGGTGTGCTAGATGTGCTGTCGTTAATGCAGCCATTCTAGCAAGCTTACTCGTAGTTGTTGAGGATACCCAAGTATTTAACTGATAATGTACTACTGCAAATGAATTTATCATGATTGTTATTCCCTTTGCATCAAAACAAACATAGTCAGACTCAGTGTTGTACAGCTGTGCATTCAGATTGTAATTTATTTCCGCTTACGAGGCAATAATACAAGTTACACAGTCATCTGTGTCAAAGACTGTTTTTCCAGTTTTTGCGGCTTTGGACCTTTCATCGTCCTTCCTGTCACAGTATTTACTCTAAAACAGTGGCCACGTGTATTAGTGGTCAATTTGGACACTTTTACAATGTGACTGATCATGTCAGGTTAAAGTACACTTGTGCAAATTGAAATTGTTCCAGTAATGAAATTAAAGTTTTTTGGAAAGTGAATATGCCCTACAGAAGCCTGAAGAAACCTACATGTAGTTGAAGAAATGTTCAGTTTTAGAGGTGGGAAGAAAACCCTGGAATTTTCTTCCAGGGCAAACTCTTGAAGTAAGATGGGGAAAACACATGGGAAGCACATAGGGACTGAAAACTCAATCTGGTGGCATTTTTTGCACTTGCGACAAAAAAGAAAATACTGCTGCATCAACCTGAATTCCCTGAAAGACATATTGTAAATCCATGGCCGATATTGACAATAAAACTGAACAAATACTGACATTAGGCTAAAACTAACTTACTCTGCAGTAATCCTCTCATTTTTAATTTTATTTTTTGTCACAGCTGAATCCGAGGAAGTGACTCGTCAGCAAGAGGAGCAAGCAAGACTTTTCAAGCAGCTAGACCAGGAGTACCAGATAGCCCGCGTCAAGACCCACACCCAGAGAAGCTTTGGGCTGGGCTTTGGTAGCGGTGGTATGGTAGTCCCCGCCCCAGCGCAACCCCAAGCTCAGGCCCCTCCCACAACCACATCCAGCTAGACTAGGAGTATCAGATAGCCCGCGTCAGGACCCACACCCAGAGAAGCTTTTGGCTGGGCTTTGGTAGCGGTGGAATGGTAGTCCCCGCCCCAGCGCAACCCCAAGCTCAGGCCCCTCCCACAACCACATCCAGCTAGATTAGGAGTACAAGATAGCCCATGCAAGACCCACACCCAGAGAAGCTTTGGGCTGGGCTTTGGAAGCGCGTTGGTATGGTAGTCCCCACCCCAGCCTAACCCAACCCCAAACCAAGGCCCTAAGAAACATACTAGGAAATCACAAGCCTTGGCTCTTTGACAAGTTCAATGATTTATAGTTTCTGCTATGGAAGATATTATGTTCCCACTACAAACTGAAGTACATGTATCTGATTTGTAAGGTGCACATTGAAGGAACGTATATTGTTTTTATCTGACTAATGCATTTATAAAGGTTGTATGTCACGTACTGCACCTTACTTACCAAATACATCAGATTGTGGCAAAACTTTTTGATATGTTTCAGAATCTTTCACTCAAAAAAAAAGGAGTTTTAAATGCCAACTGCCAATGCATTTTAAGGATTAGGCCACATCATAGTGATTTGCTATTGTCATTGCTGTATAGGATATTAGGTGCAGATAGATGTGTAGTTGAATTTCGAGAGGTGGCCTTGAATATTTCCACATTTATGACAAATCAAGAGTGTTTTGTTTTGCTTTTTTGTTTTAGGCACTAGTAATGATTGCTATTTTTTGGGGCTGTCAAATTTGTTTGGATTCAGGAGCCTAGTTTTCGCTTGTTTTGAATCGTTAATGCTGCCATTAGTAGAGCTGGTCGAGCAACAGAACTGCAACGGAATACTCTTGATTAGTAACGGCATCAAAATGATAAAGATCATAATTTGGATAATGGCAAGTCGTTCCTAGTTTACAAATGCCACGCGCTGTGGCACAAGGACTCCGCAATGAATCCCAACTACTGGTCTTGAATTAAGATTACCATTTTCATCCTCACCAGGAGTCCACAATTTGTAGTGAGCTGACATAGCCAGTGAACATTTCATTTGTTCTTCTTCTCATGTAAATATAGCAACTGAGGTTTTGGACTTCACCAGGATTTCATTCACATTAGTACTACATTGTATAATGATTTCATGTATTTCAAACATATTACTCAGTGACTTCAGCTTGACAAAGCTGAATTGTTTTGGGGGTTTTTTTTGTGTGTTTTTTTATGCAATCTTTTTCCACAAAACAAACGTTGCGTAAACATTCTTGTCCCCTTAAACTTACACCAGCTGATTTTCCCCACTTCTTGCAAGGGGAAAAAACACTGAATGTTATCAGGTTATTAATATTTTTCACCAAAATAACTGGATTACGAAATGTCCGACTTCTCCCATGACTAGCTTTCCTGTTTTTGATGTGTGATTTTTGTCCATAAAAAAGTGTGGCTAAATATGGAATGATATGTACATGTATGTGGAACTTCAAAAGGTCTTCATACGATGTATGCTTTGATGACATTCATTTCAGTGCATAAATGCTGTGTATATAACAATGTACATGAGTCGATGACTTGTGATTCACGTTCTTGATTACTGATTATTTTTCATTTTAGTACTGTTACTAGACTGTGAATGTTCTGTTGATAATATGTGCATTTTGGTGTGTTGTAGCTCAGCATAGTGTAGTTAAGGAAGGTAGTGCTTTGAAGAAAAAAAATCAATTGTTTACAAATCTAATCCTTAGAAAAAAAAATTGTACCTTCAGCAACCACTTTTATTATAGGTGCAGTTATATTTTCTGCCTCATTAATAAGTTGGTGTTTGTTTGCATCATTACCCGTTTCATGCCTTAGATTGTATAAATTTACAACCAAGTTCATTACATGACTCTTTCTGTTTGATTTTCTAACTTTCCCTTGTTGAAGAAATGTTGCTCTCCTGTAAAAGCTCAGAACTTCATTTTCTAGTGGAATTGCCTCATTTTTGTAGCACAGCGTATCTTGTTAGGAACGTATTTGGAATGCTTTGTATTTTTCAACTGGAATTGGCCTAGTGATAAATGCATAGCGAGAAACATTCCCAATTATTAGAAGAGTTGATGATTCAAATGAAGTGCTCCGTGCACACATAAGTGGAGTTTTGAAATGCATTCTTCGAGGGCCAGAATCTAAAGAAATGCTCAAGTTGTTCAAGTCCTTCAGTGGCCCTAAGGTTGCTTTGTTATAGGATTTGTCTTGGTGAAGAATTTTGTCAGAAAACATGAATTTTTTTGTTCAGAGTATGTTTATGTAGCCAGTTGTCTCCCTGATTTTCCCTAAATACAAGAAGAAAATTGACTTTCGCATGTGAAAAATTATATCCCCATGTTGCAAAAATAGTAATGAAGAAATCAAGTAAAATGTTAGTGAAGAAAATAACAGTGTGTTGCATTTGGAAAATATTGTTACATAGCTATAGACCTTATTCATGAGGACGCCATTTTCGATCGTGTTCCCTGAATCTATTTTATAAATTGTAAACTGTTGGAATGGGATGGTGCCAATCCGCACTTTTAAATCTTTCAAATGTGGTTTAAAACATTAGCGCATGTTTAATCACAAATTTAAAAATTATTCATCAGAGCAGACTGGTATTAAGTTGTAATGATTTTTTATTTAATTGCTTTTCATTTCTACTCTGACGTTCCAAAAATAGAGTTTTACCTCACTTTCTGCTAGCTCTATTGCAACCGTGGGATTAAATTTCAGTGATTTAGTATCGGCTGGTACGTGTGTTTGCATAGCGCTTTCATTATTAGCATATATGAATATATGCATGTTAATTAGAACTTGCAATTTATTCAAATGAATGTACTAGTAATTGTTGGTGATGCGCATGCATGCCTATTGGTAACTATCTCCAACTTCAAAATATGTATGCTATGGAATCTTGGTTTTTTTATATACAATAAGAGTAGTATGCAAATTGTGTTTTGCTGCAAGTATCAAGTTTGTTCCAATAAATATGATTTCCTATTGCAAAGATCTGTGGGGTTTTTTTTTAATAATTATTTTCAAGTCGGCCTTTTCTACAATACACACCTTTGCTTAACTGTCCGTTTCAGCGAAATAAATTAATTCAAGTTTAATAAACGGCAAATTCTGGGCAAACAAACCGCCTTAAAATAATGCAGAGCATAATAGTCTTGTAAAAATACAAACTATATAAGTTGTATTAAAATTTCCAGGTTTACATACCACAATGATTTTGATCCAGTAAACTCTTTGTTCATACAAAATGGGTAAATAGAATTTAGACTTATATTTCATGATAAACTACTACAAAGGAAATACTCTAAATAATACATTTTAATTTGTCATGATTTACACTTGATAACAGCTGGCGTACGTTACAAACAACTACGTTATTCACCCATAGGGAGTGTAAAGACTAGTACTTCTAATATATATTGCAAAACGTATAATGCAAGTACCCATAAATTTCACCCAAATTCTCAAAATTACGTGTGTTAGAGTATTGATTGATGTTCTTCTTGCATCCAGATGAATTTCTGCCTTGTTTTGAGAAAATTCAATTTTTGGCCGATTTTGACGAAAAATGTAAGGCTTACCCCTTGCATTTTTTTTTCAATTTTGGCCAAAAAAATGAAATTTCCTGAAAGTTGCTAGAAAGATGCCTTAAAGTCCCTAGAACGCATGCGAAATCGATTGCTGGACGGATGTGCTATTAAAGGGGAAATTCTGTCAAAATATTAAGGTGAAATTGCTCAAAACAATAACTTTTTCTTCCCCAAAAATTGAAGATTTTTGCCCAAATCTTCAAAACTATGTGTGTAAGAGTATTGATTGATGTTCCTCTTGCATCCAGATGAATTTCTGCCTTGTTTTGAGAAAAGTCAATTTTTGGCCGATTTTGACTACAAATGTAAGGCTAACCCCTTGCATTTTTTTTCAATTTTGGCAAAAAAATTAAATTTCCTGAAAGTTGCTAGAAAGATGCCTTAAAGGCCCTAGAACGCATGCGAAATCGATTGCTGGACGGATGTGCTATTAAAGGGGAAATTCTGTCAAAATATTAAGGTGAAATTGCTCAAAACAATTACTTTTTCTTCCCCAAAAATTGAAGATTTTTGCCCAAATCTTAAAAACTATGTGTGTAAGAGTATTGATTGATGTTCCTCTTGCATCCAGATGAATTTCTGCCTTGTTTTGAGAAAAGTCAATTTTTGGCCGATTTTGACTAAAAATGTAAGGCTAACCCCTTGCTTTTTTTTTCAATTTTGGCCAAAAAATGAAATTTCCTGAAAGTTGCTAGAAAGATGCCTTAAGGGCCCTAGAACGCATTCCAAATCAATATCCGGACAGATGTGCTATAAAAGGGGAAATTCTGTCGAAAAATTAGGGTAAAATCGCTCAAAAAATTACAATTTTTTTCTCCAAAAATTGACGATGTTTGCCCAAATCTTCAAAATTATGTGTGTTAGAGTATTGATTGATGTTCCTCTTGCATCCAGATGAATTTCTGCCTTGTTTTGAGATAAGTCAATTTTTGGCCGATTTTGACTAAAAATGTAAGGCTAACCCCTTGCATTTTTTTTCAATTTTGGCCAAAAAATTAAATTTCCTGAAAGTTGCTAGAAAGATGCCTTAAAGGCCCTTGAACGCATTCCAAATCAATATCCGGACAGATGTGCTATAAAAGGGGAAATTCTGTCGAAAAATTAAGGTAAAATCGCTCAAAAAATTACTATTTTTTTCTCCAAAAATTGACGATTTTTGCCCAAATCTTCAAAATTATGTTTGTAAGAGTAATGATTGATGTTCCTCTTGCATCCAGATGAATTTCTGCCTTGTTTTGAGAAAAGTCAATATTTGGCCGATTTTGACTAAAAATTTAAGGCTTACCCCTTGCATTTTTTTTCAATTTTGGCCAAAAAATGAAATTTCCTGAAAGATGCTAGAAAGATGCCTTAAAGGCCTTAGAACTCATTCCCAATCGATTGCTGGACAGATGTGCTACTAAAAGGGAGATTCTGTCAAAATATTAAGGTGAAATCGCATTACTTTTTTTCCCCCACAAATTGAAGATTTTTGCCCAAATCTTCAAAATTATGTGTGCAAGAGTATTGATTGATGTTCCTCTTGCATCCAGATGAATTTCTGCCTTGTTTTGAGAAGTCAATTTTTGGCCGATTTTGACTAAAAATGTAAGGCTTACCCCTTGCATTTTTTTTCAATTTTGGCCAAAAATTGAAATTTCCTGAAAGATGCTAGAAAAATGCCATAAAGGCCTTAGAACGCATTCCCAATCGCTTGCTGGACAGATGTGCTACTAAAGGGGAAATTCTGTCAAAAAATTCAGGTAAAATCGCTCAAAAAATTACTATTTTTTTCTCCAAAAATTGACGATTTTTGCCTAAATCTTCAAAATTATGTGTGTTAGAGTGTTGATTGATGTTCCTCTTGCATCCAGATGAATTTCTGCCTTGTTTTGAGAAAAGTCAATTTTTGGCCGATTTTGACTAAAAATGTAAGGTTAACCCCTTGCATTTTTTTTCAATTTTGGCCAAAAAATGAAATTTCCTGAAAGTTGCTAGAAAGATGCCTTAAAGGCCCTATTTGGTGGGTAATCTTTTTCTGTTCTCAAATTCGACCGTGGGATATGCCAGGTTTAGGGAAGTCATTTAATTTCAGCGATTTAGTGTCAACTGGTAGGTGTGTTTGCATAGTGCTTTCAATATTGGATAATATATGAATATATGCATGTTAATCAGACCTTGCAATTTATTCAAATGAATGTACTAGTAATTGTTGGTGATGCGCATGCATGCCTATTGGTAACTATTTCCAACTTCAAAATATGAATGCTATGAAATCTTGTTTTTTTTTATCTACAATAGTGAATAAGAGTAGAATGCAAATTGTGTTTTGCTGCAAGTATCGAGTTTGTTCCAATAAATATAATTTCCTGTTGAAAAGAATAGTGGTCATCGTCCATGTTTTTTAAAATTATTATTTTCAAGTTGGTCTTTTCTACAAGACACACCTATGCTTAACTGTCCGTTTCAGCGAAATAAATCAATTCAAGTTAAACGGCAAATTCTGGGCAAACAAACCGCCTTAAAGTAATGCAGAGCATCCAGATGAATTCCTGCCTTGTTCTGAGAAAAGTCAATTTTTGGCCGATTTTGACTAAAAATGTAAGGCTAACCCCTTGCATTTTTTTTCAATTTTGGCCAAAAAATGAAATTTCCTGAAAGTTGCTAGAAAGATGCCTTAAGGGCCTTAGAACGCATTCCAAATCGATTGCTGGACAGATGTGCTACTAAAGGGGAAATTCTGTCAAAATATTAAGGTGAAATCGATCAAAACAATTCCTCTTTTTTTATCCAAAAATTGATGATTTTGGCCCAAATCTTCAAAATTATGTGTGTAAGAGTATCGATTCCTGTTCCTCTTGCATCCAGATGAATTTCTGCCTTGTTTTGAGAAAAGTCAACTTTTGGCCAATTTTGACTAAAAATGTAAGGCTTACCCCTTGCTTTTTTTCAATTTTGGCCAAAAAATGAAATTTCCTGAAAGTTGCTAGAAAGATGCCTCAAGGGCCCTAGAACGCATTCCAAATCAATTGCCGGACAGATGTGCTACTAAAGGGGAAATTCTGTCGAAATATTCAGGTAAAATCGCTCAAAAAAATACTATTTTTTTCTCCAAAAATTGACAATTTTTGCCCAATTCTTCAAAATTATTTGTGTTAGAGTATTGATTGATGTTCCTCTTGCATCCAGATGAATTTCTGCCTTGTTTTGAGAAAAGTCAACTTTTGGCCGATTTTGACTAAAAATGTAAGGCTAACCCCTTGCATTTTTTTTCAATTTTGGCCAAAAAATGAAATTTTCTGAAAGTTGATAGAAAGATGCCTTAAAGGCCCTAGAACGCATGCGAAATCGATTGCTGGACGGATGTGCTATTAAAGGGAAAATTCTGTCAACAAAATAAGGTTCAAGCTCTCAAAACAATTACTTTTTCTTCCCCCCAAAATTGAAGATTTTTGCCCATATATATTCAAAATTATGTGTGTAAGAGTATTGATTCATGTTCCTCTTGCATCCAGATGAATTTCTGTCTTGTTTTGAGAAAAGTCAATTTTTGGCCGATTGTGACTAAAAATGTAAGGCTAACCCCTTGCATTTTTTTCAATTTTGGCCAAAAAATGAAATTTCCTGAAAGTTGCTAGAAAGATGCCTCAAGGGCCCTAGAACGCATTCCAAATCAATTGCCGGACAGATGTGCTACTAAAGGGGAAATTCTGTCGAAAAATTAAGGTGAAATCGCTCATAACAATTACTTTTTCTTCCCCAAAAATTGATGATTTTGCCCAAATCTTTAAAATTATGTGTGTAAGAGTATTGATTCATGTTCCTTTTGCATCCAGATGAATTTCTCTCGTTTTGAGAAAAGTCAATTTTTGGCCGATTTTGACTAAAAATGTAAGGCTTACCCCTTTCATTTTTTTTCAATTTTGGCCAAAAAATGAAATTTCCTGAAAGTTGCTAGAAAGATGCCTTAAGGGCCTTAGAACGCATTCCAAATCGATTGCTGGACAGATGTGCTACTAAAGGGGAAATTCTGTCGAAAAATTCAGGTAAAATCGCTCAAAACAGTTACTTTTTCTTCCCCAAAAATTGATGATTTTGCCCAAATCTTTAAAATTATGTGTGTATTAAAGAGTATTGATTCATGTTCCTCTTGCATCCAGATGAATTTCTGTCTTGTTTTGAGAAAAGTCAATTTTTGGCCATTTTGACTAAAAATGTAAGGCTTACCCCTTGCATTTTTTTTAAATTTTGGCCAAAAAATGAAATGTCCTGAAAGTTGCTAGAAAGATGCCTTAAAGGCCCTATTTGGTGGGTAATCTTTTTCTGTTCTCAATTTCGACCGTGGGATATGCCAGGTTTAGGGAATTCATTAAATTTCAGCGATTTAGTGTCAACTGGTAGGTGTGTTTGCATAGTGCTTTCAATATTAGCATATATGAATATATGCATGTTAATTAGACCTTGCAATTAATTCAAATGAATGTACTAGTATTTGTTGGTGATGCGCATGCATGCCTATTGGTAACCATCTCCAACTTCAAAATATGTATGCTATGGAATCTTTTTTTTTTTATATACAATAGTGAATAAGAGTAGTATGCAAGTTGTGTTTTGCTGCAAGTATCGAGTTTGTTCCAATAAATATGATTTCCTGTTGAAAAGAATAGTGGTCATCGTCCATGTTTTTTAAAATTATTATTTTCAAGTTGGTCTTTTCTACAAGACACACTTATGCTTAACTGTCCGTTTCAGTGAAATAAAATAGTTAAAGTTAAACGGGAAATTTTGGGCAAACAAACCGCCTTAAAGTAATGCAGAGCAATAATAGTCTTGTAAAAATACAAACTATATAATTTTTATTAAAATTTCCAGGTTTACATACCACAATGATTTTGTACTATCCAGTAAACTCTTTGTTCACACAAAATGGGTAAATAGAATTTAGACTTATATTTCATGATAAATTACTACAAAGGAAATATTCTAAATAATACATTTTAATTTGTCATGATTTACACTTGATAACAGCTGGCGTACGTTACAAACAACTACGTTATTCACCCATAGGGAGTGTAAAGACTAGTACTTCTAATATATATTGCAAAACGTATATTGCAAGTACCCATAAATTTCACCCAAATTCTCAAAATTATGTGTGTTAGAGTATTGATTGATGTTCTTCTTGTATCCAGATGAATTTCTGCCTTGTTTTGAGAAAAGTCAATTTTTGGCCGATTTTGACTAAAATTTTGGCCAAAAAAATGAAATTTCCTGAAAGTTGCTAGAAAGATGCCTTAAGGGCCCTAGAACGCATTCCCAATCGATTGCTGGACAGATGTGCTATAAAAGGGGAAATTCTGTCGAAAAATTGAGGTGAAATCGTTCAAAAAATTACTTTTTTTCTCCAAAAATTGACGATTTTTGCCCAAATCTTCAAATTTATGTGTGTTAGAGTATTGATTGATGTTCCTCTTGCATCCAGATGAATTTCTGCCTTGTTTTGAGAAAAGTCAATTTTTGGCCGATTTTGACTAAAAATATAAGGCTTACCCGTGTGCTACTAAAGGTGAAATTCCGGCGAAAAATTAAGGTGAAATCGCTCAAAACAAATACTTTTTACAAATACACTAAAGTGTATACTATATAAACATTCATAAAATTTGTATAAATTCTTTTGGGTGTATTCCTAAAAGAAGACAAAAAGGCACCTCTCATTTTCAATCCCTGCCCATACAACTACGTCCAATCCTTAAAATCCCTAATTTTAAGCCTAGAATCTAGAGATGTCTCTGCCAAATAACAACGTCTTGGTCCAGTCAATGGGAACCTGCATCCGTAGTCTCCAACTACCCAGACGGGTGAGGTACGCAGACCGCCACAGCAGCCAGGAGTAGAACCCTGTACCAAGAGATTGCATCGAGAAGAGTTATTAAGGGTAGAACCTTGGAGGCCTCCAAGTTTTAAAGTTGGTTCCCCATACTCTTTTCAAATTTTATCCCAAAAATTCCATGTCTAAATTGCTATTTTTCTTCCAATACAAAATTATTCACTTTTAAATAAGACATCGACCAAAAACATGGACCCTCATTTAGTTACTGAATTATTACTTTACAATTTCGAAGTATTTGGTTACCAGACAATTATTCCGTTCTCATGGGGTAAGCTGGTTCCCGCCCCACAAACAGTATTGATAATGTATGGACCAGAGCCAGTCTCCTGGAAAAGCAGATCTATCCGTTTGTGCCCGAAACAAAAAGCTTTATTTTCAGAGTGTTGCAGATATCAAAAAAAAGTGAAAAGGAAGGTTCTTTGGTTGTGGAATAAAACACACAAGTTGAAACTTTATTAAAAGACAAAAAATGGAATTTGTTGGAGAGCACAGGATATGCACCTTAAATATTGATAACTTGTAGTCATGTGCTTGTCGAAGTTCAACAGTTAACACTAAATTTTAATTGTATTTCTGGGTTTTGCCCTCGGGCGGGATTCGAACCCTTGACCTCCTGCTTACTACTGCAGATGCCTAACCACTTGAACACTGAGCTTTCCAAAGTCAACTGGCACAGCAACTATTCCAGACTTAAAATGTTCATCTGCCTGACGTATTATTCCATCATACTTAACATTACATGGCCTTCTGGAAATAAGTCTCAGAAGCAGGACAGTGTTGTGTGAACGTTTGGACCAACAAAAATACACTAAATATTTCTGGAAATTTGCCAAGGACTTAGATTTCAGTAGAAATCTCCAAATAGTGCAAGCAGGATTTCTGAATGAAACCTCGAGTAACAGTGATTGTCATAAGAGGCAAATGCTGCATGCCGTTTGAATGGATGGTGACACTGGAGTATATGCTCCATACAAGACATGATGAAATTGCATACAAGGTAGCCTTTTGTAAATTTTATAGCTTATCTTGAAATGAAAGATCTATACAAAAGAAAATCTGTGTACAGGGTGAGTAAAAAAACGAAACCCAAATGTCGGTACAATTGTTTTAGTGAAGTTCTGCAGGTAGCACTTTCAAAATCTAGGATATGAAAGTCCAATTTATAAGCTTTCTTTTAGTTCATGAATCATTCAAATCAGTCATGTACTTTTCAAGTTACGGAATTTTAAACACAACCACCGTTTTAAAGTTCTGTCCACGGATCACAGAAAAGGTGTGTGTTCTTTCAGCAAAACGAAAACAATTCACACACATCCCTATGTGATTTGTTTTCGTTTTGCTGAAAGAACACTTTCTTGTGATCCGTGAACAGAACTTTAAAATGGTGGTTGTGTTTAAAATTCCGTAACTTGAAAAGTACATGAGTGATTTGAATGATTCTTGTACTAAAAGAAAGCTTAAGAATTGGGCTTTCATATTCTAGATTTTGAAAGTGCTACATGCAGAACGTCACTAAAACAATGGTCCCGACATTTGGGTTTCCTTTTCTTTTCTTTTTCTCACTATGTATTTGTAGACTGGCTCTGCAAAAAATGTTTCCATACTGACAAGTGAAAGTTGTAGGTTTTATTGAAGTGGTTCATCTAACCTTGATTCTTGAGGACCGGTGTGTTAGTCAGCCCCTTGTAGTTTCCTACATAGGCCAGCATACCCATATTCTGGTACTGGAACGGAGGGCAATCCTCCCCTGAGTTCTTGCCGAGGGACTGAGCCACATACCTGCCTTGTCTCTCTGCAACCTGATTGGGAACAAGATTAGAAAAATAAACATCAGTTTTGCAATGTCAAAATTAAAATCAATATCAGGCCCTGATTTTTTACTCAAGTTGTTTTCTATAAACCATATGTGCAATCAGTTATTGGAGAAGCTCTTGGTTACGGCTGGCAGTAAAACACATATGGCTGTTTGAAATGGTTCGGCCACTTGCATCGGCACATGCGTAAGTACAAGCTGTAGACTAGTAAGTTTGAATACAGCCTACCACTCAAAAAATCTGACGAGTGAGTGACTGCCTATGTGTTTCGTATTAGTGCAAAAATCACATATGGTTGCTTTTAAAGCTACAGTCCATCATTTGCAGCTATCCGAAAAGTAGCTGGCGTAATTATTGTTGAAAAACATACTTGGTTGAAAGATAGTAAGGGGACTAAACTCCCTGTGAAATTATTCTTTCTGGCAAGCTGTCATTTTGAAGTAATCAATGAAAGAAGGCCTTTCCAACGGTGCTTCTTAAGACGCACTGTAGGAAAATTTAAATTAGTAGTTCATTTTGTTATTCGGCGAAGCGCGCGCAAGCATTGGCACGACGCACACGCGGTTGTTATAATTCGTCAGATCAGTGCGCAACATCGCGTTGCTGCATTCGGCTCAGCGAGAACGTGTCTTGGACGCTGAATTCAGGCGCAATTCAAAACATGATTCAGCAACTTTTGATTTGAAATTGAGATCCTAGAATGCTGTTTTTCTCAGAATATACAGCTGAAGCTGAGCTGAAACTTTATCAGGTTAGTTGTTCAGTGCCCTTCTTTAGATTTTGAGCACTTTTGTTGCTTCAAACGAACAAAATGTACAAATTACAAATGATGGACTATAACTTTAAGCACTTCGAAACAAAGATTAGAATTGTTAATTTTAAATTTGTTAAATATCATCAATTTTTCTCCAAGCATGCATCATACACACAAATTCCTTACAAATTCTGATCAAACCAAAACTTCCATTTTGAATTTCGCGGGCCAAGTGTCTGAATTAATAAGCCTCTGTACTGATGACGTCACACTTTGTTTACATGGTGCACTTTCCTATGGAGCCAGTGGGGGCTCACGGACCACTGAGCACCATAGGAAAGCGCATTTAAGTTTGACAATGATTGAGAGCACTGGTTTATACAAAATATGTCGTGTCCTTGGGCAAGCCACTTCACCCCCATCTGCCTCTCTCTACTCAGGAGTATAAATTGGTACCAGCATTAGCTGGGGAGTAACCTGCGATGGACTGGTGTCACATCCAGGGAGGAATAGAAATATTCTCAGTCATCTCACGCCAAGGAAACGTAGATAAACATCGGCCTGATGGTATATGTTGGATCGTGACAGACTTATATACAATTTGGACTCCTATGGAACCCGCTCATGGACTCTATGGTATATGGACTCTAGCCTCACACATGATTTTTTCCATGTGTACTGTGACATACGGAATGCAGTCAATGGGCCTTATTCACGAGGCGGCCATATTCAATTCAATTCAATTCAATTCAATTTATTTATTCGTCATGCCAGCATGAAATGTTCCTTCTCGCTTTGCACATAAAATTTCAAATACCTACAATACAGAAAATTAAATATATAAACATACAATATAAACGTTAAAACATTCAATGAAAAGGCAATAAATTAAATAATCTCAAAAACACTGTAAAACCCTAAAAACACACACATGGACCACATTGAACAGGCTGCCTATGGGACAAGGAAAGGTATGCTGGAGAAAAAATAGGGAAAAAATATTGAATTGAAAAAATATTGAATTGAAAGTGAGGTGGAATCTGAAGTTCTTTTGAACTTGTAAAGAGAAATGAAACCAAGTGAATTTTTAATTAATTCCAGTCTGCTTCAATGAATAATTAAACAATTTGCAATTACACATTCCCTAATGTTTAAAGCCAGATTTAAAAAAAAAAATGACAGTAAAATAAGGCTGCATTGTGCCTGCATAAAAAGTCTGGCGTCATCCCATTCAACAGGTTAACAATTAATGAAATACATTCAGGGAACTCGACAAAAATGGCCAACTCGTGAATAAGGCCCATAAGTCTGTATTTCGCTGGTCACATGTATCAAACATGGCAAGAAATCTTTGACATGAAGAGCATACGCTGCAACCCACCTGTGCTGTACAGGGCAGGCTGAGGTTCTGTATGTCAGCGCAGTCACCGATGGCATAGATGCTGCCGCTGTGGTCATCCAGGACCCTCAAGTGCTCATCGGTAAGAAGCTGGCCTTGTTGATTCTTGGCAAATGGAAGCTGCTTCACAAAGGGCCTGAGAATTGAAAGGAATGATTTTGAGTTTAGATACAGATAAATCAAGCTGTGTGGGTAGACATTCACAGCAGCATCATGCTTTAAACACACATGCCCATATGCACAATGGCAATTCCATGGTTACTCACGTTACATTTTCGTAACGTGAGTATCCTATTTCGTACGTCTTGTTTATCATGTATAACACATTTTTCTGGATGTCATCTTTGGTGCTTAGGTAGGTCTAGGTCCACTCTATCTACCATGGGGATAACAGTTACTAAACCTTTTCAGTAAGGTAATTACAGCCCAAGGAAACTCAAAAGTACATCAAAAAATGTAACGTGAGTAACCGTGGAATTGCCCAGAAATAGACTGGCATAGGGGAGAGTCCCTATGGACCATACCACTAGCTCGCTGGTGAGATGCTTGCCATCGCCGACAGGGACCCCGTCTTCCCAAAGACTTAGTAAGGGTATGACCCAAGACACCCCCCCTATGTGGAAATGGACTGACCTTGGGGAGGGTCCTGTACGTGGACCCATACCACCTGCTCATTGGGGAGGTTCAAGCCATCTCATTAGATGGCTTGAACCTCCCCAATGAGCTGGTGGTATGGGTCCAAGACAAAGCAAAGCTTCCCCTCTTGGGAATGGACTGACCTTGGGGGCAGTCCTGTGGACCATACCACTAGCTCATTGGGGAGGTTCCTCCCTTACACCAAAGTCAAAGCAAAGGTTCGACCGACACATTCCCCCCCCCCCCCCCCCTCATTTGTGGAAATGGACTGACCTTGGGTAGAGTCCCGTGGACCAAACCACAAGCTCACTGGGGAGGTTCCTGCCGTCGCTGAGGGTGACCCCATCCGCTCTGACTTCCGTCACGTTGGCGGTGATCAGCTCCATCTGCCCCCTGCTGCGTATCTTGGCCGTGGCATACTCTTGCTGTTTTGGGGTGAAGGAGGACAGGATCTGTCGACCCTCGATGAGGGAGACGCGGATCAGGGCTCGCTCCTCCTTGTAGAGACGGGAAACATCCTAAGGAGGGATGAAAGATGAGCTAAGATGAAAGAGGTACAAAGTGTCTGAATATATTTGCCATTTATGTTTTCTTTCATGAGTTGATCGCCCACAAAGCGGGTATTCCCCGTGCAGCGAGCGAGGCTAGGCAGCCACCTCCCAGCAAAGCAGGCCAGGCTGCAAAGCCGGCACGCTACACCAAGAAGCAGGCAAAGCAAAGCCTTGTTCCATTAATTATTAGAAACAACAGCAAGCTGTTTTGTGCAACACATACCTCCCTGACAAAATCATACAGCTCCGCCCCAAATTCCACCCCGGTCGGTCCCCCGCCCACGATGACAATGTGGAGCAATTTCTCCCGATCTTCTTGCGAGATGCTGGGATGCAGAGCATACTCAAAGTTGTTAAGGATGCGATTTCTGATGGCACGGGCATCGCGTATCTCCTGCATGAGGACAAGGACGTGAATGTGATTCGTCATTACAAAAAAAAGAGTGTATCATCAAAATATTCTTTCAACATAAACGTATGTGTGTATTAATATACTACAACATGACAAGTTGTGTTAAAAAAAAAAATTGGTTTTATAGACTAATACGGCAAACATTAGAAGCCAATTTTGAGATGGAACCAGGCATAGGGCTCAGGTAATGCGCACACACTTTGGACTACCTTAGCCAAAAGGGTTTTAACACAATGTACACATTTAGGCCTTATCTTTAAGAACGAGTGTGGCACGCGCATGGACATGGTTCCACCTCAAAAATGGCTTCTAATTGTGTTCGGTGAATCAGGCTATACTGAATAACTTTTGGAGATAAGTGTAGAAAATTGAAATAGTGTTATTTGCTTACTTTGACAGTAACCAAGTATATCTTATGTTTTGGTTGTTTTTTTAATGTTAATATAAAATAATGTTTTTATTTTATTTATTTTTTTATTTCACTGTTTTTCTGAGCAAAATTTTATCATAAAGTAATTAATGCATTTATTTTATATATTTTATTTCTATTCTATGTGTAACCTATTCAAGTTAGGATTGGCAGGCTTTCGAGTCAAAGTGTTTCATTATACTTTTGTCAGTCCTGGCCAACTTTGATAGGGTTGTTTTTGTCTCTAATTGTAGTGTTTTTTGGAATTGTATGTTGTTCGTGTATGTTGTACTTTGTACCTGTTGTTGAAGGCCAAATAAATAATAATAATAATAATAATACGTGAAGATGAGCATTCCTATTTTAAGCATGCTTTGGTGTTTGGGCCATTGTTATGTTTTCAGTGGGGTCTCAAAAAATGTCCTCAGTTGTTGAAAGATAGCAAATGTTTGACATAAGTCCAATTTTTCATCTGACCGTCAGCATAAAGCTTTCTATTCATTCGATCAGCTTTGACTGACAGATCTGATTTTTTGGCCAAGCCCACGGCACTGCAAAGCACACAATGTTCTGCTGAAAGTGGCTCGATCTCTGTAACAGAGACCGCAACCTGTATGCACAGCAAAGCACATGAAGACGGCAGGATTTGCCTAAAATAATGAGTCAAATGACAAAATCTCTAAGCAGACAGAAGTGTAAGCATGTCTATGCTTTGAAATGTGCTTAGCCAGTTCGTGTCGAATGATGTGAATACACACAAATGTTTTGCGGTATTCGAAACAGATGACGGATAAACACGCAGGCAGCGAGGCCGGAAATATCTGTCAGCGACCCGCTCGCAGCAAGCGAGGCCGCTAACCTGCTAACCTGTGTGTATTTTCCTGCTAACCTGTGTTAACATATTTTGCAGTCGAGAAGTCAAGTCCATCACAATTCCATCATAATGGAATGTTTCTGAATGGTTTGAGACTTGACTTGAGACTGGAGAACTTGTGATGGAGTTGTGACTGGACTTGTGATGGACTCAACCACAACACTGGCAGCACCATGAACATGACCCTTTGTACTGATAATAAATTGATAGTCACACACCTTGAGGAAGAAAGCATGTTCTGTCACCCCCGGGACGCCAAAGGTATTACTGACAGCACCGACCCCAATGACCAGCTTATCATAACTGAGGGCGTACGTCATGTCTGGTTTAATCACGCTCTGACAATGCAACTCCTGCAATGACCAAAACAAATAACAATAATAATAAAAGAGAAAGTGTCTTAGTATACTTAAACAGTCTACGGAAAATACATGTATACTGTCTGTTTTAAATAAAGACTCAGAAAATTGAAACAATGGTTTGGATGATCACGTGGTCCGATGCAGAAACATTTGACAACAGTGTTTATGCACTCACACTAATTAGTATTAATGGTGTAAGTTCTCAAAGGGAACACATTGCACCATAAATGGAGCATGGTACACGGATTCGTCAAGATTGGAGACACTCCCTCGTGGAAAAAACCCAACAAACCATTGACAACAAAATATGTCAAATCAAATTACGTTTTGCCCTTCACCGACATATAAACACTGTATACTCAGTGTGTTACCTCCCAAGTGAAAGTTGGAAAAATCAAACCCACAACCTCCTGCTTTCTAGTGCAGATGTCTTACCACTCGACCACCGAGCTAACGGGATCGGTTGGCTGGTTCAAATCTGATCTACATAGCAGCGGATACCGCATTAACTATTCATAATATGGAATGAACTATTCAACAAAATATGGTAAGCGATATCTTCTATCTTCAAGTTCTTTTCCTTAAAAAAGAAAATGGGGATTTGTAGATGGGGATATACAAAACAATAAGTGCTAGTGGTCCGACAGATACTGCCAATGCCATTGTGATGAATAAAATAATCATCATAAAGGTGAGGGTCTAACGTTTCATTCCAGGTGGATCTTCCTCTTTTGCCTCCGACAGACTACTCCTGGATGGAAATGTCAAACCCCTCTCATTCTTTATAATTTATATATGAAATGGTCAATGGCACAGGTACCTTCTTGTCAACGTCCAGACCAACAGCTTCGCTCAAATGAAAGTGATCAGTTTTCCTGAAGCCGGTGTTCCTCACTGGTTCAATGATGCTCCTGTCAATACCAAAATAAAAGACTGATGTTATATCTTATTTAAAATACATGAAGATTTTAAAATGTTGGACACTGATCTGGGAGGGTTGGTGTTACCAGAGTAGTGCCCTCTGATTTGTATGCCTTAACCATCCTCTACATAAGGTTATAAACGACTTCCTAAATTTCTGGTTAGAGGCGTGATAACGGCTTGTGCGTGTATAGAACATACAATGCGCATGCGCGAGAATAGAGTCGGCCAAAACTGCAGTTGAATTTCTGTCAAGTCTCCCCTGATTGGGTTTCATGAAGGGCGCGCGCGCCGAGTCTTGCGCACTCGCGCACTGTATGTTCCATACGCCCACGGGCCATTATCACGCCTCTAGACAATCCGTTCCGTACATTTTGTACACAAGCTCACATGAGTCGTTATCCTTGTGTTGAGGATCCATGCCTTAACTGTTCAAGACAAGCATGATCAAGGTTCAGAGGACTTTGAAAACAAAATTTCCTGAGTTTTCTGTGATATGTCTCAGAGATATTTCCAAAATTCAATGAGAAAGGCTGTTGGACTATGAAAAGAGGGGTACATGTACATAGAGGTGTGTAATATTCCCACTTTTTGCATACTCACTTTAAAAGCTACCATAGGCCAGTCACAACTTGCAGAAATATCACAAGATGAACATAAGCCAAGCTGGCGGATTTCCCTTATGTGTCACTGTCCAACTCCCTGATTTTGGTGTTTCCCCCCCCCCCATATTCCCTGAGTTTTCCCAACTAGAAAAATGTAAACTCAGTTTCCAGGTTTTTCCATGATTTCCAGATTGGCCAGGAAACCTGGAAATTAATATCAGCTTGTAGTTTACATTGCCGCTGCTAGAGATGTTATTATAATGCCAAAACAAACAACACAAACCTGAATTCAAGAGTGCCAACCGTCGTACTCGCCAGCAGTGGCGTAAAGAGGAAGTGGTTGCGAGGACTGACAACGATGACATCAAACTGCTCCTTGTCTATGGTCTTGAGCACACTGTAGCTGCTCCACCCAGTCCCCAATATCAACAGCTTCTGCCTTTCGGGACCTCCGTTTGATACTGCCGACTGGCTGGCACATCTTCGAAGGACTGATTTGGGAAAGATTTTCAGAGGATTTTCCACAGGATAAGATGAGGAAAGCGCTACTGCTCTCCAAGCAAGTCCTGATCTGCTCCACACTAGTCCTCTCATGTTGAGCTATCTGCTCCTTAACGTTTATTGTCTGCAACTAAGCATCTTCCCAAAAGGTGGTTTAACTTTGTCCACTCGTCTTTCTCCAACTGTCATGACTCTTCTGTAGAAAATAAATAAATAAATAAATTTGTAATAAATACATGTATACATAAAAGAAGCCTTCGCACCAGGTATTTTGTACAGGCATGCAACTACCGGTATGAATTTTAAAAAAAGAGGAGGAAATTCCACATCTCACAAGACTTTTGTACATGATTTGTCAATTTGTAATGACATTCATGAGAAGTAAAAAAACGAGGAAATCAGCGGATCTGAGGAAAAGTTGCACGCTTGTTTGTACCGTGAGAAAAATCATCTGGTTCCACGATTACACTGTTGCTGTGATTTCATATTCATGGGATGGGAATCAGACACAGTGCAATTTCGGACTTTTACTTCCCTTACAAAAAAATCCTCCAGAGCCACAAAACAGCAAGAAAAGGTGATATATTCTGGAATTAAACGTAGGATTTGTTTGAATCCCATACTTTTAGGAAAATTAAAAAGAAATTAAAATGTCCAGTATGGCTAGGTTTACAACCGCATACGGCAGACACACAGTCTTACATTTTCCCATACGTTTGCTCAGGTCGAATTGATAAGTTATTAGCTAAATTTATTAAGAAACAATCTTTTGCTAATTTAAAGTTTATTTCTCACATCACAACGATACTCTGTCTTTCCTATCAAAGATCCTCAAGCTTAGTTAGCGACATTTTTGTCCAGTTGGTTTGGCAGGTTGTTATTGGTTATGAGACGAGGCATAGTCTGATTTTAACCAACAGCACCAACTTAAAAGATCAAAACAAAAACAAAACAAAACAAAAAACAAATAAACAGAAATAAAAGTATGATTTGAGAATAAAAACTTTCAGTTTTAAACTTTCACTTTTACTTCATTCCATATCGGATCAAATTTGTTATTAAAATGAAAGGGCAGTACTGAATTGTTGTACTGATAAATAAATCAACATCCCAGGTCAAGAAAACAATGTCAAGTTGAAAAAAAAGACAGCAAGGATTTTAAATTATGATATTGTCTGTATTCCTTGTCCAAAGTGTAGTGAGTTTTTTTTTTAAAAATTGAGTGAATGCCACTTTCTACAATCGGTATCATGAACAAATTTAAAACTAAAGATTCCACAAATGTATAGGCCTGGAGCAATTCATTTAAACTGAAACAACTTAATTCTCAGATTTCATGTCAATACCAGTACTTAATGAAACTGAGTTGTCTGCTTTGGTTACAGCTACTGCTATCATGAGATATGTCACATGCATTACAATATGTCTAAGAGAAATGCGGAAATGTAGGGAGAAAATGTGGAAAGACTTTCTGTTTGAACTACACATTTCTCAAGATCTTATATTCCCTATGTGTATAAAACTGGAATGAGCCTGAAATACGCCATTACATGCTATGTTGTATCTGAATAAACTGTTGAACACAAAGATCAATGCTGCACTGTACACAAACCATGGGTGATGGCTACCAAGACAACTCCACTCTATCAACTGAAGTACAAAAGCATCTTGATCGCTATTTCAGGACTCTAGACAGAAGTGAAGATATAATATTGCTGAGTGCTGAAATCATTGCACCAATCGGCCTCCTCATCAACTTTGTCTTTCTCTTCACAGTCATTCGAGTGAAATCCATGCGTACAATCATCAACATCTACTTATCCAATCTGGCTGTGGCTGACTCACTCTACCTTATGACTTTCTTCATATTTGCTTTGTTTTTACCTATAGAGGTTAATTCCTTTGCCCAAAAGGCAATCTTAAGTGTAGCCAGCATGCTGGTGGCTGCTTCTACTTTCTTTGTGGTTACCATAGCAGCTGAGAGATTCTCTGCAGTGCGCAATCCTCTGACATTCCAGGAAACAGCCTCTAAATCTCGAGCAGCAAAGATATCAGCAGGAATCTGGGTGCCAACAACTATTGTTGGTGGGATTCTGATATTCTTGCCTGAGACTGTCTTCCGTCAAGTCATCTTTTGGATTCCTTTCATCATCAACATTGTCTGCTTAATAGCAACTCTTGCTTTGTACATCTATGTAGTAGTGAAAGTACGCAAGCAATCAGCCCTGTTTCCAAACCGTCCCAAGCAAACCGGCAAGGTCCTCCGTATGGTTATCATCAATACTGCTGTTTTCTTCATTTGGAATTCATTGGAGATTGCAGCTGCAATTATTGTCATTGTAGCAGATAGTTATTTTACAAGTGTGCCTTTCCAGGCTGTTGAAACTATAAAACTTGCAGAGAAAGTTAGAATGCTGATTTTGTCTGCAAAAATAATTCGACTTGTGGATAGCTCGCTTGATCCCCTGGTCTACAGTGCCACAAACGCCGACTATCGTGACGCTGTAGTCAAGGCTTTCTCATTCCTCAAACTGTGCTGTCGTTGCTGCCCAAGACGGAATCCCAGCCGACCATCGCAGCCAGGGAAGCAGATTGAGCTTTGTGTGATTCCACAGGCAAAAAATGACCAAGAGCACCGTGCTGCCAGGCCAAGCAGCAGCAAGCCACCAAGCCAAGGGCATGCACAACACACAGAGAGTCAGCAGTCACTGGACAACTGTCAAGAACAATGTTCCAGGCAAAGCAGCAGCAAGGCATCCATGCACAGTCAGCAGCATGTTCAAGTGCATGTTGAGGTACATGCAGAACCAGCAGGGACCCCAGCACTTGCAAGTTCTCATCAGGAACAATGCTCTAGTCTGACTGACTGCAAACCATCCATGCAAGGGGAACAGTGTGTACATCTAGAACCAGCAGAGAGCCAGCAGTCACTTGCAAGTACCCAGGAACAATGTCCTGGGCTGACTGGCACTGAGCCATCAGCTTAAGGCCAGCAGTATGCACATCAAGAACCAGAAGGGGGTCTTGTCATTTGAAAGCTGTCGAGAACAATGCAGTGAATTGTTGTATAAATTTGTAAATAAATCAACATTCAAGGGAAGAACACAAACTTTTCATTTGAAAAAAAAAAGACAGCATGAAAACACGTCAAGGCGGCATGAAAACACGTCATGGTCTTGAGCTCACTTTCTTGGTGGGTGGGTGGGTTGGTTTACTCGGCCAAATTTGAGTTTCTTTTGAATACAAAGTAGCTGTTTTGGTGACACTGATGCACATGCGTCTAATTGCATATTAGATCATACCCTGTTACGTCGCAAAATTTGTGGTTGTACGGTTCGTGGACCAAGTGAAGGCATGTGATTGCATGTACTGTGATTGCGTAGTACGTGGGTCATTTCAGCGTCAACACCAAGTGACAAGTTTCACAACAAGGTAAAATTTACTCTGTTTTTTTTTTACTTTAGGACAGCGCCATGTAGATTGTCACTACAAGCAACAGTCATGATTGTTTTTGCATAGTTTCACGACATGGTTTATGGCGTAAAGGGTGCAAATGTCACTCGTCGCGATGCCCAACACTATTTTCTATGACTGCACTGATTGGAACGTGAAAACAACAGTGAAGGGGATTTTTTTTCAGCCCTTTTTCAAAATCAGAAGCTACAAAAAAAAACCAGTGCTACAGTTGAAGGTTCCTCCGTATTTTCTGACATACGTACCGGTACTGCAGACATTCCTTTGTCTTCGTGTACAGCACTTAAGAAAATGTTGGTATTGTCAGATCAGCATCAAGAATTGACCCAAGACGTAAATTTATGTATACAAGAGTAATGCGTTACGTAACCTACTACAATGTATGTACATAAACTGACACAGTCATAATCAAAAAATCCCACAGAAAATTTGATTATTTTTGTGTTCATGACAAAGACTGTTCATTGTGTACTTGTTCTACAATAACCCCAGAGAACAGACACACAAAGGGAGAACAACAGATCCTTTCAGTCCTCGGGAGTTGGGTCTTTCGTTCAAAACGGTCCTCTGTAGTAGGTTTGTGTGCTTAGTCTATGGGAGAGTGTTATATTATAGAGACAAAGGAAAACACAAAGCATTGTCCTCGGGATGGGAGTATAGTAAAACAAGAGTGGGTGCACGTGCGCACGGTGCGTGCATGTATGGTTTTCGGTTCTATACTCTTGAGGTGCCCTAACCCGTGTTAATGCATTACGCGCCGTGGGTTGTACCACTTGGTACTTGATGATTTTATATTTTTGTACAAACAGAAGTTTTTAAAGAGGTTTTGAGTGAATGTTACATTCCATAATCGGCAACATGAACACATTTTAACCAAAAGATTACACAACACATGTGCATGATAAATATAGATCAAATAAAGAAACTGAAACAAATTTTATTCTCAGATTTGATGTCAATGCCAGTAACGAAACTGAGTTGTCTGATTTGGTTACAGATACAGCTGTCATGAGATACACGGACGTGCATTAAAAAATGTCAGAAGAGAAATGCGGAAAAATAGGAAGAAAATGCGAAGAAACTTTCTGTTTCAACTACACATTTCTCAAGATCTTATATTCCCTGTTAGTATAAAACTGGAGTGATCTTGAAATACTGCATTACACTCTTTGCTTTATATAAACTGCACATGATTAATGCCACACTAACCTACTGATGATACACACCGATACACGTATGATTAATAAACGACACAATGGTTTGATGGCTGACAAAACACCTCAGGTGCGGATCCAGGGGGGGGGGGGTTTAGGGGTAAAAAAAAAAAAAACCAGCTCTGTCAAAAAAAAAATAAAAATATAAATTCCTAAAAAATAAGTCAAAAAATCCACCCCCCCCCCCCCCCTGCTGTGACACCCCCCAAAAAATTATACTGGTCTAATGTCCGTCTGTTCAAGTGTCCGGAGAGAAAAACGTGTGTACATTTTCAGATTTTTGGGCTGATGAAACCCCCCCCCCCCCCCCCCCCACCCCCTACGAAAATTCCTGGACCCGCCCCTGCACCTCTATTCATCAGCATCTTGAAAACTTAAGAGCAAGTCAAGCGGGGAATCAACAAATAGTATGGTTAAGTATGGTGCACAATTTGAATTACAAATATACGATAAATGCCAGAAAAAGGGAGTAAAATTACAATGAAGTACCCCCCTCCCCAGCTTGAGTAACTCCAGTCTCCAGTCTCCAGCTAGCTCATCCCGATGAGCATGAGCTGAAGCTACCCTGCCCCTAAAATTAGAAGGCTTCTCTTCGTCCGTTAGATCATGGAGGAATATTCCTCCATGGTGAGAAGCCGATGTTCGGAGTAATTGCAGAATACCCCGCCACTCGGAAATACACCCGAACCAACCACCCTGTTGGCGGCTGCGAGGCTACGGAGTGGAGTCCCCTTGAATATGCTTGAGAACGAAGCAACACAAAAGGAATGGGAGTTGCTGAAAAAATTCTAAGTCCAAACCAACCACCCTGTTGGCGGCTACGCGGTCACGAAGTGGGAGTGCAATGGAGCATGACGCATAGTATACAAATATTGAGTGGCTCAGCGTGGAATGGGAGGAATATTATCGCAAGGTAAAATCTGGACTTTTCCATTTCACGAGGCGAAGCAGAGTGAACTGGAAAAGTCCAGATTTTACCGAGCGATAATATTCCTCCCATTTCACAATTTAAAGCCACTCAATATTTGTTTTATATAACTGACATATAGATCCTTGTCATTTGATACATTTGAACTCTTTTTCAATACGAAACTGGAGGAAAATCTATTTCTCTAGTCCAAACCACCCCTTCACGAAAATGCTTGAACCCAACGCTATAGCGCTGGCTCTTTGGAACAATACGCACTACGCGCAACGCTGAACGCGCACACCAGCATGCATTTGCACACAAATACTGCGTCATGATCTTAACTGTTGTATTTCCCATTCCCCATGGGCGGATAGTACTTTTTGAGCCGCGGCGTGAATGGGAGCAATAACGAATGTCATGTGATGTGAGTTCCACCAATCAAATGACTAGGATCTGTATGTCAGTTATATAATACATACAAGTAGCGCTGAGAATGTTTATTGAGGTCAATCAACCGTGACCTCGCAGCCGGCTACGAGGTTGATACTATAGATCGAGTGGCGGGGTATTCTGCAATTGTGCCCGATGTTCTAAATCTAGTACCCCCCCCCCCCCCCCCCCCCCCCATCAAAATGCCCTTGGTCAGGAGCAATAAAAATGATAAAATAAATGGTTATATAATAAAACCATACCTAAGACAATTCAAATGACACTTGCATTCTCGTCATTGACATTGCTTCTCTCTTCGTAAGAATTAACACCTAGACCTACCTCCATGGAATTAAATTGACGAAATTGAAGATACGAAGTGGCTATCGTTACGGCAGTCGTTGTTTAGCGCCCTCTACGATACTTTTTTGATACGCACGCAGGTATATAATTATTTGTTTCCACATACTTTAGCAAGTAGTGCGACAGCTCAGGCGATAGAGGGTAGGATTTTGCACCGCGAGGTTACGGGTTCGAAACTCAGTTTTGCACTCGAATTTTTTTCCTTTTCTAACCTGAGGCTTTGGAGGATTTTTTTTAAAAGGGAAATAAAGTCCGAATTTCATAACGTTCAAATTCACTTTTTTCCTTCTAATTTTATATTTTCTTGTCATGTTTTTATAAAAGTTGCAGTCTACCGTAACGATAGAAAATGGGAAATGCGTTACGGCTGCCGTAACAATAGCCACTGCGTTGAAGATAACTGCAGAGTCGAGTGCAGACGATCCGGCAAGTTTAACAGCGCCCTCTAGAAATCTTGAGTTGGGATGATTTTCAAACTTCGGCTTTGCTCCGGGAATGGCTTCATAACTGCATGGGGATCATTCTTATCATGTCCAGTCCAGGCAGCAAGACTCTGAAAAAAAAAAACACAATTTTTCGTGAACAAACATGTACATGTATACTATATATGTACATGTTTGTTCACGAAAAAATGTGTGTGTGCTTTTTTTTTTAGAGTCTTGCTGCCTGCTGGACTGGACATGATAGTTGTCAAAAATGATCACTTTGCAGTCATAGTGCACATCTGTACCACTGATCTAAACTGATCGAGTCTTGCAGCCGTTCCGACCCTATTTGCAAATCAGATTCCCGTGTTTGAAAACATTTCAAGTTTACTGTTCAAGTTCCACAATTTTACCTAGACTTTATATTATTATTATTTATCATATTATTTTTTATCGTTGGACTGTTTCTCATGATATTCAATACCCCTCTGTTACACATTGTGGAAATTAATCGCACAAAATTTCAGTTTAACACATCTTGTACTTCTTGAGTTATTGATCGGAAACTGAGTTGTTATTTTTGTTCAATAGTGCAGCATCCACACCAATATTCTTTTATTTAATGGAGGGCGCGCCACATAGTGGTCTCGATAATTATCCACCACCAAACTCGTTTGGGGGCAACAACTAAAGAAACACAAAATGTTTTAAATTGAATTTTTGTCTGGTGATTTGTCATTATGTTGAACATTACGAGATTTCATTTCATAAGGAACCATCAAACAATGAAGCAATATTGACCGTAACAATACAGTGTTTTAAACGCGACAAATGCAATCCGAATGAAAATCAATGTGTATTTTTCGCGTGTAAAACACTACATTGTTACGATCATATTATTTTTATCGTTGGACTGTTTCTCATGATATTCAAAACCCCTCTGTTACACATCGTGGAAAATAATTGCACGAAATTTCAGTTGCACACACGTTGTATCAAACAATGAAGCAATATTGACCGTAACAATACAGTGTTTTAAACGCGACAAATGCAATCCGAATGAAAATCAATGTGTATTTTTCGCATGTAAAACACTACATTGTTACGATCATATTACTTTTATCGTTGGACTGTTTCTCATGATATTCAATACCCCTCTGTTACACATCGTGGAAAATAATTGCACGAAATTTCAGTTTAATACATCTTGTATTTCTTGAGTTATTGATCGGAAACTGAGTTGTTATTTTTGTTCAATAGTGCAGCATCCGCACCAATATTTTTTTATTTAATAGAGGGCGCGCCACATAAATAGTGGTCTCGATAATTATCCACCACCAAACTCGTTTGGGGGGCAACAACTAGAGAAAAACAAAATGTTTTAAATGGAATTTTCGCCTAATGAATTGTCATCATGTTTACACATTACGAGATTTAATTTCATAAGAAACCGTCAAACATCGGAGCATTGTTGACCATAACAATACAGTGTTCTAAGCGGGACAAATCATTACTAACACATTGTCGTAAAAGTTGGTATATGAAAATTTCTATGCAAAACCCCCTACACCAGGGGAGTGTGTAGAAAATATCAGACAGTTATTTATTACTCCCCATCACGTTCAATTAACTAAGGCAGCGACCGCAAGCCCCATTTGAAAAAAAGGTGACCGAATCAAAGTACCAACTTTTACGATTAATGTGCTGGTAATGTATGGCAGTACAAATTTCGACGTTTTACAGTGGGGATAACTCTACAAATGTGGGACTATTTGCGACAAATAATCATTGTTCTGGCAATAATTCAATTCTCACTCGAAAAAGCAACACTTGGGCGTAACCGCAAATGGTGATCTTGGCCAACGGCGGATCATTGGGGGACCGTGGGGCCGGAGAGGGGGGTGGCAAGGCCCCCCCCCCCCCCCCCCGCCAGGAACAAATTTCAAGGTTTTTTTTGTGACTCCCGAAAAAAGGCAGCCACTGATGTATGGTCTTTATATGATTTGGTGGGAGAGGGAAAATTTGGAAGAGTTTGTTGGTGTACCTTAACATGGCGCGGCCCCCAACGTGGTGCACCTTGGTTTTTTTCGCCTCTGGTGCCTTGCTAGAGCAAAACTTTTATCTCAAAATTTCACAGAAAGGAAAATGTCATCAATCTCTCAACTTTCCCATTCATAAATCTTGAACTTACGTACCCGGCAGAAATTTCAAGAGTAATTATATTTTGCGTGATTTTCCGATTTTTATTTCAAAGTGCACAGTAAACCCTTTTAATAAGTTCGCCCCAAAACAAGAAAATAATTGTTTGGCACACTTGTAGTTGGGTATGTGAGGGGAGATAATAATGATTTCTCAGAATTTATCAACTTTAAAGAAATTCTTAATGTTTAATGTGGGATTTTTCCAGGATTTGTTCAAGTACGCCACGTTAGGGAACACTCCGCTGAACTTGTGCCCAATTTCCGGACGTCACCGTTTTTGAATTTCGGACTAAATTTCATGACACTGAAATTGTTCACAAAGGTTCAACAGCAAGCATTATTAATAGTAAATTATAGTATCGATATTAAACTGAATGAATTTGAAGTCTGTCAACAAAGAGTTTGACAACACTGCATGAGGAAAGTAGTCGGGGGAAACGTCGAAGTGCGCCACGTTAGGGAACAACGCTATGCAGTCACTGTGCTATTTCTGTGCCAAATTGTAGATTTTTTAAGAGGCACACTTGCTTAAGTAAGTTTGTATTCATTTGTAATTCTGTGCAGAGGTATTCAAGCCGAGTTTGCCAAGTAATGAGATTGAGACCACTTCCCTCAGCCGAGGACTCTTCAGTTTGCTATGGTCAGTCTTACCCAAAAATGCATAGAAAGGCTACGGATAGGTACAAGGTGTATCCAAAGAAAATGTACTCCCAACATTAATGGTTAATTATGTGAAATTTAATTTTAACACTGTCAGTCTGGTTGCATCTTCACAGAGAGTTCATGAGCTTTGGATGACAGACTGCAAAACAAAAGGTCAAAATCATCTCTTGTTATGTAAAAAAAAAAATGTAAGACAATCAAATTGAAACGGAAAGTAACAAAGATGCAAACACAGACACAAATGCATATCCAGATATCTAAAACATGATTTCATTTATTTACTTGAAAAGAAAACAAGTTTTGATACAAAATTGAAATAAAGCGTACATACATTTTTCTTTTTTAATATAATTCAAATTTTCCTTGAACTTGTGGGGAAAACATATGTAAGAACCAAATTAGTCATTTTGGGAACGTTAAAAATAAACTACCAACGGAAATTTCCAAAAATACGTCTTGAGACATTGAAAATGGCCTTCTTTTATTGTTTTCTTCAAAATGACAGCATGCCAAATAGAATAATTTCACAGGGAATTTTGTACCATTACTATCTGTAAACCAAGTATGTTTTTCAACGATAATTTTGTCAGTTACTTTTTGGATAGCTGCAAATGATGTACTCCAGCTTTAACCTCACACAGGTTGCATGATAGTCATTTATGGGATCAAAAACGTACGGGAACGCCAAAATACCCGCAAGTTGCATCAATTTTATTATCTAATAGAAATCTTCCACATGGCACCAAGGTATACTAGCTTAGCTTTGTTAACAGTGACAGTTTTGTAAAAGCAAAATTCAACTGGTGACTGATGTTGAAACTTCGCCGTCCGTATTGCTGGATCTTTTCACTCCCTCGGGCACCTCGTAGTAGGAATCAACTCGGTCAGCTCTCTCAAACAGTATGACCAGCTCACAGTGTTTGGTGTGTGGGAAGAGGTCAACGGCCACTGCCTTGGTCGGCCGGAATGGGATGCCCTTGTTGCGATTTGAAATCGGTCGGCAGAGACTGGGGGAGGACAAAAACTAAATGAGTAACTACCCCGAGGAGAATGTCATAACTAGTCATCCAGTCTCAAGTTAAGTCACAAGCTATTCAAATGAACTGTGAAAAGGGAATATGTTGGTCATGTGTGTCATTGTTTGTTATATGTGCACACTGACTTGTGTTGACTTGTGACTGGCTTGTGATTGGCTTGTGATTGACCTGCGATTGGCTTGCGACTGGCTTGCGATTGACTTGTGATTGGCTTGTGATTAACTGGTGATTGACTTCCAGATTCGAGATATGTACAAACTAAAAACACATTTAACAATGACACAAGGCAGTAATTGGCCAAGAATGTATTCACATGAACTTTATATTTTGACATATATTCATAGCTTGTTTGAGTTTAAAAAAAAGTAACAAAAAGAGAAACATGTGTTTGTTGCTCTCATTTTTGGATTTTGTTTTGAGAAATGTTAAAATGGTTACGGACATGTGGTTTTCAGGAAAGGATCTTTTGTGTTATGCTCTACACAGCACTGCACAAGTTTGGTTTTTACATAGGTGGCAGCTATAATCAGCAATAAAAGTAATTTAATTTCTACTCACTCTATAAAGTTGTTGATGGCATTTTGCGGGTGGCAAGACACGTAAATAAGACGTCTTAAGGTGGAGCATCTCCGAATGGCCTGCAGCACCTTAGGAGCTGAAAAAGTAAGCCAACAGAATGAACTCTGATTAAAGTTAAACAAAATAATAAATGAGCTTCCATAATTAATATTGGTTGGTACGTGTTTGATGTCTGACCAGTTTTCACCCTCTGATGAAGGAAATCAATCATAGCAAATCTGAGGCGAACGTTTAGTGGTACAGTGGAACGCCACTATAACGAACACACCGGAATCTAGAGAAATTGTTCGGTATAGCAATTTTAAGCTGCCGGTGCTCTGGTACTCACTTTTCAATAAATAGCGCCCCTCAGAACTTAACCCTGCAACCCTAGGTAGTTACTAAAAGACGACTTTCAACACATGGCCACTACTGAATTTCATAATAACAAAGTTTTTGAGCTTACTACCTACAACAATGGGTGGCTTTCCCCTTCTATTCCGGGGGGGAAACAATAGCCACTTGTCACTTTTCTGTTGACATTTTTCAACAACAGTGTTTGGTACGTTTTGTACACATAAAATCGGGAGCCAAGCACAATGTTCGATATAGCAGTGTTTTCAGTATAGCGACGTTTCACTGTATTCACTGTGCTGTGAGTAACTCCTATTCTCAACAGGGCCCAATTTCATAGCGCTGCTTAACAGCCAACTTTGTGCTTACCGAGTATCCATCTATTTTATAGGGACCATTAAGCAGTAAGCACAGTAAAAGCACGCTTAACCGCAGAAGAAAACTTTGCTTAAAGAGGTTGTGGAATGCTCGAAGACATTTCCGTCATTTTTCGTGTATATGTAGCCTAAGGTGTGATGAAATAAAAACGACTACTGTGTCTGTCATGAAATGAGAACAAAAGGTACTTTTGAGAGCTGTTTTTCAGGTCTTGTTTCAACCGGAACGTGCAATCTGTGTAAAAGTCGTCGTTGGGGGCAGCAAACAAAACATTAAATCATGACGTAATAAACAGGACTCCCGATGCAGCGTAGTATATTCAAGTCCTGTATATTACGTCACGATTATTCTCATTTTACGAAGAACCCGACGACTGTCGATTTCAATTATGCGCTCACTGACCAACAAATTACTTGATGAATTTCAGTTTTATAAACATATAAACGCACATTACAAAAGAATGGGACGTTGTCATTATGATATATATGGGTCTACTTTACAATAAAAAATATAAAAAACAAAACAACTTTCAGCATTCCACAACCTCTTTAAATCAGTGCCGTAACAATAGAAATCTCCATGCGAGCGCAACCGTTAGCATGAAATAGTGCTTAAGCAGCAGCATGATTTTCTGCTATAATTAGCACAACTTTTCTGCTTACTGTTAAGCAGTGCTATGAAATTTGGCCCAGATATGAAGACAGGATTGAAACCCTTACGCATGCCAGGCCTGGGTGGGTCCACAATGCCAACAATGTCATCACAATCCTTCAGATCTTGGGTCATGTCTGGTAACACTACCTCAGCTTTACCGCACACGTACTCTATATTACTGAGATCTGGAATACACAGACAGACAAAGGAAAAGATTGAGAAACAAACAAACAAATGTTATCTTTGTTACGCATTGCTGCACTCTCTGCTTTATCAGCTTCAAGCCAGCCAACTGACCTCAGCCAGCTCGGTGGTTGAGTGGTTAGACAGCTGCCTTCTAAAGCTGGGGGTCATAGGTTCAAGTCCCACCCAAGCAAACTTGTGGATTTGTTCTCATAAGCTGTAGCCAGCACCTAGTATACAATGCTTATTAAAATATTGGTAGTCAGTACAGCCCAGAATTCAAATTTAAAAGTCATATTTTCATCATCATGTTTTTGTTAATACGGGTTAATCTTGATTGCAAATGTAGTTTCCTTGTATCATTCACAACAGTGCACAAGAATATTCTGGTGTTTTTCCTTTCAAACTGTAGCTATGTGTTTAGTATCTTAAATTTGAAAGTCACACCCTGAAGTAGGTCCACAAGAACTCCCTCTACTGTCTATGCACTGAGCCATTAGAACCATGGACTTACTGTTTGCCTTTGCATTGAAGACCGCGTCGTCGATAGCCTGCTGGTTCATCTCTATGCCAATGACCTTCTTTACTCTCTGAGGAAAGAAATGAGACAATGAAAAAACAAGTCAGGTGTGTTTACAAACACAAATGCCCCGCAACGGTGACAGTTCCTATGACATAACACCACTCTTTTAACATCAACTTACATGTACCTTGGTCACATGGAACATTCATTGACAGCATTAGTGTCTTCTGTAGGTTTTATATGAATTAATCCCTAATCCCTATAATCTCAGAATAAATACATGATTTCTATTGTTTTAGCCACTGTGAACTTGACCCTTGACCTTTTGGCCCCAAATTCAATAGGCTTCTTAGGATTACAAAGAACAATCCACAAACCAAATTTGAAGTTTATATGTTAAGTATTTCTCAAGTTATCGCGCTGACAAGATTTCTATTGTTTTAGCCACTGTGAACTTGACCCTTGACCTTTTGGCCCCAAATGCAATAGGCTTCTTAGGATTGCCAAGAACAATCCACAAACCAAATTTGAAGTTCACATGTAAAGTATTTCTCAAGTTATCGCGCTGACAAGATTTCTATTGTTTTAGCCACTGTGAACTTGACCTTAAGGCCTTTTGGCCCCCAATGCAAAAGGCTTCTTAGGATTGCCAAAAACAATCCACAAACCAAATTTGAAGTTCACATGTAAAGTATTTCTCAAGTTATCGCGCTGACAAGATTTCTATTGTTTTAGCGACTGTGAACTTGACCTTTGGCCTTTTGGCCCCAAATGCAATAGGCTTCTTAGGATTACCAAGAACAATCCACAAACCAAATTTGAAGTTCATATGTTAAGTATTTCTCAAGTTATCGCGCTGACAAGATTTCTATTGTTTTAGCCACTGTAAACTTGACCTTTGGCCTTTTGGCCCCAAATGCAAAAGGCTTCTTAGGATTACCAAGAACAATCCACAAACCAAATTTGAAGTTCATGTGTTAAGTATTTCTCAAGTTATCGCGCTGACAAGATTTGTCCGGACACACACACACACCCACCCACACACCCACCCACACACCCACCCACGGAAGGACAAGGCGGAAACAGTATGCCCCTTCGGCTTCGCCGCGGGGCATAAAAACACACTTGTAACCAAGTTATCACAAGTCAATTCTCAAGTCAATCACAAGACACAAGTCAATCATGAGCATATCATGGGTCAATCACAGGCATGCAACTGGGAATTTAGAAAAAACGAGGAAACTCCAAACCACACAAGACTTTGTACAGTATTTTTCAATTTGTAATGTCATTCATGAGAAGTAAAAAACGAGGAAATCAGCGGATCCGAGGAAAAGTTGTATGCCTGCAATCACAAGTAAATCACAACTCGACCACAAGTCAATCACAAGTCAATCACAAGTCAATCACAACTCGACCACAAGTCAATCACAAGTTAATCATGAGTCAATCACAAGTAAATTCTCAAGTCAATTACAAGACACAAGTCAATCATGAGCTTAGCATGGGTCAATCACGAGTCAATCACAAGCAAATCACAAGCAAATCACAAGTCGATCACAAGTGGATCACAAGTCAATCATTAGTCAATCACAAGTGCGTCATAAGTAACAGGGAATGAACACTGACAGAGGAATGTCCGTTGGAACACCCTTGCCATTTGACTTGAGACTGTATGACTTGTGACGACGTGAGCTTGATTTTTGATTGATGCTACAAGTTTGCGCAAAATCAGATGAAACTTAGCTTCACCTTTGCTAGTGTGATTCCGATGGTACCAGTACCACAGCAGACATCTAGAACAGTGGTTGCTGGAGTAACTTGGGCCCAATCCGCTACGGTGGTGTACAGCACTTCAGCTGCCTTGGTGTTCACTACACAAGGACAAACAACACAATACAAATAATGAACAGTGGTTGCCGGAGTCATCCAAGCCCAGTCAGCTGCCTTGGTGTTCTGTTACTGTGCTTAAAGCTATAGTCCATCATTTGCAGCCATCCGAAAAAGTAACTGACGTATTATTGTTAAAAAACATACTTGGTTGAAAGATAGTAAGTGGACTAAACTCCCTGTGAAATTATCATTTTGAAGTAATCAACGAAAGAAGGCCTTTCCAATGGTGCGTCATAAGACGCACCGTAGGAAAATTTAAATTAGTAGTTCGTTTTGTTATTCGGCGCAGCGCGCGCAACACAGGCGCACGCGGTTGCTATAATTCATCGGATCAGTGCGCGACATCGCGTGTAGCTGCAATTCAAAACATGATTCAGCAACTTTTGATTTGAAATTGAGATCCTAGAATGCTTTTTTTCTCGGAATATACAGCTGAAGCTGAGCTGAAACTTCATCAGGTTAGTTGTTCAGTATCCTTCATTAGATTTTGAACCTTTTGTTGCTTCAAACGAACAAAATGCACAAATTACAAATGATAGACTATATCTTTAAGAAGTGAAAAATCAATAATTTTCTTATATTTTAATACCAGTTTTAGTATCAACAGTGGAACAAACGTAAGAGAAGATAACAGTACTTATTAAAGTTTGAGAAAACATTTCTTCAATTTTTGTCATTTTGCTGCCTTGATTTTTGCTTTACCTTGGAAGAATGCATCAGGTGATATTCTGAACTTGAGACCCAACAGCTCCTCTGTAATGTGTTCATCTCCTTCCAGGTGTTCATAGCTTTGGCCGCTACAATTGGAGAAAAACAAGCAGACCAAATTCAGCAAAGAATGGCTCACTAATTTTCAACAATTTTTTTTGTCTTCTGTTTATCTCATGCATTGAGACAAATGATTTTCCACAGCAACATGAAGTTGGTTGCGGAAGTTTTGCTTTTCACTGACGTGAAGGGCAGGCAAAGGGCACAAGCCACTATTAACGGAAAAGTCCATCACGCATAGAGCAACGGATGTCAGATTAGCAGAAAAATGAATTTAACTGACGGAATTCATCTTTTTGACATGAAATTCAGCTTTTCATAAAACCTATGGGCTCCGTGCACAAGTACTTCTTAAACGGCCAGAAAAGGAGAGTTGGGGGAGACCTAGACTGGTTCCCGATCCATCTACTGCGTATTTCGAATGCTCCAAAGTTATTGGGGGCGGGGATTAGTCTGGGAGACCATCCCAAGTTAAATTTGAACGTATTCACGCGCCGACGATGACTGTCGCTCACGCAAAGACGCGGTGGCTAACAGCTTTGGCACATTCAGGAAGTCGTGCGTACTTTGCGCACGAACCAGTACAGTACAGTACGCTCACGCTGTGTGTCCCGTCCACAGAGCTCTCAAAAGAGGTAAAAACGCGTCCTCTTTGTTGGCGCACGGAGCCCATAGTGTTTTGAACAAACAGAAATCTAGAACACTGGAAATGAAATATCTGGGTCATTCTATTAATTTGGGGTCCACTATTTTCTATGATTTTACAATTCAGATGCACTTTTAATGCAGTCATCTTCCAAGAGTGAGTATGAATATTAAGCTACCTACTCAACAAATAAAAAGTGTTTGAAGTCATTCTTAATGATACTTGAATGTTACATTACAAAGTTCATAGGTAATGGGAAGCGGGAAAATGTCACACATTGGACCCTAAATTAAAAGAATGACCAGTGTGTTGTTCTCAATTCTCAGCATAATGTGGGCGTTTGTGTGCATTTTTATTTATTGAAATTCTGCAGCAAAATTGTTTAACAAAAACTTTAATTCAGTCATTTTCAGTTTAAATCCGCAATGTCACACATTACAAAAGAGGAAACAGAAATGTCATACATGCGCGCGCACAACTGACAACTAACGCCCATTGGATAAACGCTCGAGTTGCGTTAACTTCCGGTTCCATTCGTGCTGAAGTACGCATGGTTGGATTGAGATGACGTCACACTAACGAACCAGATGAAATGGAAACCAGACATATTTTACATGGACAATCAGTGACCCCTACATAACAAATCACTTTGAGAGAGATGTTCTCATGAACTCACCTTTCTCCCTGGAGATTCAAATACAATGACGTCAGCTGACAGTTCTTGCCCTCCCCTTCCTTGAAGTAACCACACAGTTTCTTCTTCTCGGCATCGATTGCTTCCTGAACAAACAAAAATGTAAAAACCAAAAACAGTTTCTGAATACAAGATGGGGTTGTTCTTCATGTATGAGAATCTTCAAGAAAATGTCAGCAAGCTTATCTGGATGGAATAAGAATAAAGCTTCACATTTGTTTCCTCTTCAAAACGTATAATCAAACCCTAGTTATGCCTGAATTAAACAAGTGTGAAGTCCATCATTGTTTCATGAAAGTTATACACACAGCATATGTTTAACAAAACTCTTGAGTTTTGTTGTCGACACTGGACAGGGCTACACATGGCCAAAAAATAGTTTTGTTGACAATGTTGTTAATGTTGGTTTTTGGAGGCCTTTGTTAATAAAATGTTTATACAAGTGACAATGGGGTAAAAAAGATGCAGGGCAGTATTTACTATTTATCATACACCTCCGAATAAACTCAGGGGGAAGAGCTATAATTTGTTGTGGAAATAGCTTTTTAAGGTTAATCCAAGTTTGAGTATGTCATACCTGAAAACTTACTTGAAAATTTTGGTAATATAACACAGAATTACCATTAGCATTAGAGTACGGTAAAGTGAACAATGAAATCATGCACACTGCACAAAGTTGATTCGGATTATCATGAAATCAAAGCCTTTCATAATCATCATCAATCATCATTATTATCATAATCACAAACTCGAAGAATATTCAAGACAAGACCTTGGACAGCGCTTGTGGGTGCATGAATGCAGCGGCCATCTTCCCGCCGTTCAGACTGGTTCTGACCAGCAGCATCCTCCAATGACCCGAGTGCATCTGCGGGTCGTAGCTCGGCAGCGACGATTCCTGCTGTAGATACTGCTGGAAGGCACTGACGATGGCCTTAGTGGAAGGGCAGATGTGGCTGCAGGCGGACGGGTTGACCACGGACATGTGACCACCTGGTAAGCAGAGTACCAGTGACACACAAAATTTTACTGTAACTTTTGTTTTCATAGCAATGAGATAATAAAATGGGATTTTTGTGTTTGTCAGGCACTACGCTTCTCAAAGTCAAGTCTGTTTCAAGCCAATAAGCCAGTTCAGTATTCCAACTGCGCATGCGCACAATGATATGGGTCACGGGTCATTCGGGATAATCGAATGCACATCGAAGGCGCATTAATGCACAGGTTACCGGGCGCACAGCGCTTGCGTATTAATTACGAGCAGAACGGGTGTTCGCATGACATCGCGTAACATCATGTCAGCCGATTCCCGAGTGATTTATCCCGAGTGATTTATCCCGAGTGACCTCTGACCTAGTCTAATACCGAACTGGATTATTGACTATTTGCATTCAGTAGCCATCTTTGAGGTGTTTATTATTATTTTAATTCAGTAACAATGAATGCACAGGAGGTTTATTCATGTGTGTCCTTGTGAAAGAACAAAGGCATGCACCGCAAATATGTCTGCAATGCAATGGATCTATATGGCTCTTCAGGCTGGTGTGTTTATATCTTCAGTTTCTGCGGCATGGAACAGCTGAGAATGTCTTCTATTCCCCGCTGGATGGAATGGGCAAGTCTATAGCAGCTTACTCCCCAGCAAATGCCGGCACCTATTTATTCTCCTGGATGGAGAGAGTCAAGTGGTTGTAAGGTGGCTTGCTCAAGGACACAAAATATAGCCAGCGGCAGGATGCAAACTGCAAACGGATTTGCTTGTAAAAGCAAAGATCAGTGATCAACAAAATCTAAGCAGTGATTTTTCTGAATTTTGTGACCTAAATCTTGGTTGTAATCTTGGTTGTAAAAACTCAATCTTGGTTGTAAAAAAGCCACTGAGTAAAGAGCCTGCTGGTCAATGTTGAGAGTACAAATGTATACCCTTTATATTCATGCCACAAAAGTAAGCCAACATTGGTTAGGAAAGGGGATTTTCCTGACAATTAAGGGTTAAAATATTTTTAGCTTGTTCCTTTCTTAAATAATTCAATCCTGACAGATAGATTAGACAATGTAGCGAACGTACAACATGTGCATCTGTCAATCTTTCTGTATGCTGCATTCTGATTGGTTGGTAACTGATTGAGTTCTTTGTTCAGAGTTAATCAGCTACTCATAGGCCACGCCCCCAGACAGTCGATCCAATCAAACATGAAAGCTGATCTACGTCTTTTGCAAAAAAGGAAACTTCAGAGGAAATACTAACCTTTGTAAGTACCAAGCCGGAAACCAACAGTATTATCTGTCAATGAAAATAAGAAGACATGAAACTGAAACATTTGCACAATTTATCCAGGGCCAAGTTTCGTGAAGACCTGACAAGAAATTTGGGGAATAACTGGAAAAAATCCTGAAACTTTCTGTTTAGCTTAATGATGTAGTGCCTGGAGCACCAATACTAGTGGATCGGTGTACTCTATCTTCAATAAAGAAAATATGAAAAGAATGCTTTGATTTCAAGTTTTACTTTCATTTTGCCTGGGGTTACTCTTTGCTTCTCTCAGAAATACTTCAACTTCTTTGTCAAGTCATGATGACAGGATTCAACGATCAGCGTATTTTTCCCAACACATGATGATTCCCTTAACCATCCCCCACCCCACACCCCTGGTCAAAACATGGGAGGGGGTGGGGATAAATTTGAGACTTAGTTTTCCAGTAACTCCAGGGACAGTTGGTCTCAATCTGCCCCTGAATGAGAGACTTTTTATAAGCAGGGGATTGGGGTTCACCTCCCACCAATGACACTTCAGACTTGCCCAGAAATCATCAAATCCAAAGGATGCATAACAACAAAATCAAGAAATTTGATTAAAAGATTAATGCCAGTTTCACTCACCGATGCCATCTACACTCTTGCCGATGGTAAACTCACACTTGTTGCGATAACTCTCTAATACTGGCTGTTGGTGAGGAAACAAACAATGAAAATTAAAGGAACAAATCAGACATCTCCAATGTCAGGAATATTTATCCCACAAAAGATTCACACACCGTAACGTTTATCTATCAAAAAAACCTGGTTGGAAACATTAATTTAGTAAAAGTAAGGTGACTCTGTCTAGCTACCCGAGTTCACACCAGTCAAGCTAACCTAACACAAACTATGTGCCAAAGTAAAATATCGCTGAGATTTTGATTCATAGCACCATTCACTATACTACAGATGAATTAACATAAAAATCATGTCTTTGTAGTCAACAAATATCAGTCAACGAAGCTTACTCACCGATGGCTTAATTGGCTCCAACTCACATGCCATCCCACTGTGGCTCTTCCTGTCAATGATATGAAGAGTGCACTATTAAACATGAGGACGTGGGTTCGAGTCCCATCTGAGCAAGCTTGTGAATTTGTTCTTGTGGTACCCACAGCTATACACATACAAAATTCAAACTGGCCGACCAACCTTGGCAAGCTCTGTTGTTGAGTGGTTAAGATGTCTGCACTAGTAAGCAGGAGGTCATGGGTTCACATCCTAACCAAGAAAGCTTTCAAATGTACATTGGTGAAGGGCAAAACCAGATATTAACATTCACAACTCCCCTATGTAAACAATCCATTAAACTCATTGGTTGTGGTACCTGCTGTATCGGATTGGAACCAGCCAGTCAGCCCCAGCAAGTCTGGTGGTCAAGTAATTAAGACATCTGCACTAGTAAGCAGGAGGTTATTGGTGCGAGTCCAACTCAAGCAGGTTTTGTCATTTTTTTATTTTGAGCTTTTTCCTTGTTTTTGTTTTTGTGTATCTGTTTTTTAATCTGGGAGACTTGTGTGTGTAGAGAAGGGAGCTTATTTCATAAAATTTGATAAAACCTTTGGTGAGTTTAAACTGACTCTCAAAACAATTAGGCTACATTTTCTGGGGCATTAACAAGTTTTCAGGGCAGCTGTAAGTCCACTAGCCATAAAACTGCGTCTGGAAACAGTTTTTTGTTCAAGGAAGATCACATTTCCATTCTAGCCCACAACCATCCCGTGTCTTTGGTGAGGAGCTCACCTTTGTTGCTTCAGCCAGGGAGACATCTCCCCAACATTCCGTTGCAGCATCTTGGATAAATTCCTCAGAAACTCCCTAGTGTTGGTCTGTTTGGTGGATAGCTGATTCTCATAGGGCTGGTTCCACAGTGGAGTCACTGTGTTGTTTAACCTGCAGATTGGGAAAAGAGCAAAAAGCACACTCAGTATTTCAGAGTCTTAAGAATTTCATAATTGTGAACGCTTCAACTGCTATTACCCTTTTTTGAGATATGGCGGACACAATCGGAGGGCGCCATTTGATTTCGGTAAATTTGGGGTCAATACAAAAGACTCACCCAAACCAAATATCACCCTCGTATTGTGTCCGCCATATCTCATAATGGGTAATGGATAGTGAGTGGAACTTCTGATCTTTCTACATACAACCATTCTCAAAACTTCAGTTCATAGTTCTGGTGGTGCATGTGTAAAGTAAATTTTAGGCTTGAAACACTGAGGGAAATGTGTTCAACTTGAAAAGTTTATCAGATAAAATAAGAGTCATTCTAAACGTGAAACACAAACTCTACACAGACATCTCTCTTCAAGGAGAATAAATGACAAGGAAGAGAAAACTGACCACGCAACTATTCCACTCAACAAATTTCATGTTCACAATGTCAAATGAGCTATGGAACTGACTGGTTGGGCTCTTAAAATAGTAATCTCTGGATGTAAGAATGGTTTTCTTGTGCTGATCATGAACTTCTTGAACTACTCAAAAAATCTACTACAGTGAAGGGAATCACATTCTTTGAACTTCCACTTTCAAGGGATATCAAGCCTAAATGGCAGTATAGGTAGGGGTCTACCTTCCTATATCCTACAAAATCTTCCAAATAAATGGACAGAACAGAATTGATCAATTCCATCAAATGAACCATTTTTTTCTACACTTGCATGATTTTAATACCGGAGAGCACAGAAGAAGAAATGAGTGTTGTGATGACTTCAGTTGGTTGAGAACCGAAGTACTTTTCTAATGGATGGTGGTTCGAATCCAGCCCAACCCTGCATTCTATCTCAATGTCTTCACCTCTCTTCTACTGGTAAGCTGTCCTCCTCCTTCCTCCTCTTAGCTTCTTGGGTGTTTCCATCAGATTCCTCTTGGCTTCTCTTCAGAGCAAGGCTCTTAGTGTACGGGTCCTCAACTGGCTTGGCAAGCTACGGGAAAAGAGTTATTGCGGGAACGTGAACCTGTAACCACAGCAATAACAGCCACTAGACCCCTTGCATTGGTAGCCAATGCTGAGGCAGTTCTTAATCATTTAAATCCAATGGCAAGTGCCAACAGAAACTTGTGTCAATAGTAAAACCACATTTGACTTTGTGAATACCTTGGCTTTGAGCACTTGTCCTTTCCATTTGTGTCCGTTGAGTACTTTCAATGCCTCCTCCTTATCTTCTTGGCAGCTGAGGGATGAAACAAACAATTGGATTTCCATCAGTTAATCCATCGCAAGCACTGAATGTAACAGGAAAGGAGATGAATATTTGTAAGATGGAATGTTTGTGTTGTGGAGGATTTAAAGTTGTGTTCCCTGTGCTATTTTTGAGTTTCATCCCAAAAATTTGATTTCTTTTCTAAATTGATATTTGGTTTTGCCCTTCACTGACGTATAAACACTGTATACTCAGTGTGTTACCTCCAAAGTGAAAGTTGGAAAAAATCACTTGGGTTAAACTTTAACCCACAACCTCCTGCTTTCTAGTGCAGACGTCTCACCACTCAAACATCGAGCTTGCGGAATCGGCTGGCTGGTTTGAATCTGATGTACATTGTACATAGCAGTGAGTACCGCATCTAACTATTCATAAGATGGAATTTTGCGTTGGGGTGATGTAAATCAATATTAGGTCTTGCCCTTCGCAGATGTATAAACACTGTATACTCTTTTCTGAATTGTTATTTTTCTAGCAATACAACAGTTATTCACTTTTAAACAAAAAAAAACAATCAGCCAATGTTTAGTTATTGAATTATTACTTTACAATTTCAAATTGTTGGCTGCCAGAAGATATTTCTGTTCTCCCGAGGTTGCCTGGTTCCCGCCCCACAATCAGTATCGATAATGCATGGACCAGGAACCAGTCTGCTAGCAAAGTGGATCAGTTTGTCCCCTAACCAAGAAGAAAAGTTCACGGATGCTTTTTAAGTATAACAATTGAAAACAGAAGTCTAAGTACACTTTCCATTTCAAGGAGGAGAGTGTGGTTTCAATGCTATGTTAATGCAGTGACTATTTATATCTGTATTTTAAATTTCTTTCTTGATTATCCAAAAACTAAAACTTGTGTTAACAAAACTAAAAACCTGTGTCAAGTTTCCCTGTGCTCTTATTTGTGTTTCGTTACGTCAGCACACTCAACTTTCGATCTTTAAGAAGCTCCCATGTCACTCACTCCTGACTAGAATTTTCATGTCAAATGTTGATCCCTATCTTGCTGGTTATTTGTGCTAGGACGTTTTCTTAACACTCCAATTTCCAAACGCGTGTAGTAAACCAGTGGCACATTCTTTGTAATATTCATCAATTAAGTGAAAGAAAAATGAAAAGGGTCACTCTTTGGTCGGGGGGGGGGGGGGGGGGGGGGGGGAGCAGGCGGGACGGGGCTTTTTAAAAACATGTTTCTTTCATTGTTATCACAAATACCAGAAGCTACATTCGTGAACATACCAGGTACATGTACATGATGCACATTTATAGTCTAAAACAGAACACAATTCCCTTGTGACAATTGTAGGAAAGAAAAGAAATACAATTATGGACAAATCCTGGGTTATGAAAGGAAGTGTAATGTCCATGACAGAGCCAGTTAGCCAGGATATCTACTTAATTGATTCAGAGAAATGATCCAAAATGCTAGTCTGTAATCTCCTTGACCATTACAAGATGATGGGTGTATAAGATTTGACAAACACATTTTCAGGTTTATTCACTGAGCTCTTAAAAGCTGTGTCACCAGCATTACATAATACTGAAACTACCCATAGCTGTACAAAGTTAGATCCAGAGCCAAAATGTCACAAAATCTGACAGGTCCTTCATTTTAAAGTTTTGCTTACCACATTTATTCACAACTCATAGTTTCTGCTTAGCATCTTTTCAAATACTGACACTCGACTAGATGTAGATGCCTACTTGATTTGGCAAGCAACAACTCACCATGGTTGTACATATCAATTGAGAGTTTGCATTCTTTACCTGAATGTGACAAAAGCATAGGTTGCCTTGTTGACTGCCTTGACTTTCTTGGGTTTCAGTTGCAGACCAGTCAACATCTTCTTCAGTTGCTGTAAAACAAAGTATGCAAGTCTTGCCAGTGCATGGTTCCTTTTTATGGGAAAGTCTTGGTACCAAACACTGACTAGTCTAGCCTCTGACCCAGACCTTGGAAATATTATTGGTTAACAATAAAAAAAAAAAACATGTTGGAGAACTTGAGATGTGCACCTTTATTGTGTTTAGTTCTGGAGACCTATACCTGCCGCCATTGACAAAATCCAACACCTTGTTTTGAGTGATTTGGGGGGCAAAGATACCATTACCTATTCAATTATAAACTCCACATCAATTTCAATTAACTGTTTTTCAACAGAACTGAAGGAGTTCACAGTGAAAATCCACTTGCTCAAGCTTAAGAAAAGACTTCACTCTTTGACTTCACTCTTCTATAGTTTCCAATGAAACTTCATGAATTTTCCAAAACACACTAAACTAATAGCACATTTGTGGGAATCAACTTGTCCGACTTCTGTTACATTAACAAATTTATAAACCAAAGCATTACACAATGTGTACAATTGGAGCAATCTGGAGCAAATAATAAAAACTGAAACAACTTTATTTCCCAATGCCAGTAACGAAACTGAGTTGTCTGCTTTGGTTACAGCTACTGCTGTCATGAGATATGTCACGTGCATTACAATATGTCTAAGAGAAATGCAGAAAATAGGGAGAAAATGCGAAGCAACTTTCTGTTTCGACTACACATTTCTCAAAATCTAATATTCCCTGTTAGTATAAAACTGGAGTGATCTTGAAATAAGGCAGAACACTCTTTGCTGCATCTGAATAAAATGTTGGATATGAAGATTAATGCTGCACTACTGTAAGACTGTACATGAACTATGGGTGATGGCTACCAAAACAGCTCAACTCTATCAACTGAAGTACAAAAGCACTTTTACAACAGCTACAAAAGAAGTCAACAAATATCAACGTTAAGTGCTGAAATCATTGCACCAATCGGCCTCCTCTTGAACTTTGTCTTTCTCTTTACAGTCAGTCGAGTGAAGTCCATGCGCACAATCATCAACATCTACTTATCTAATCTGGCTGTGGCTGACTCACTCTATCTTATGATTCACTTCATATATGCATTATTTTTTTCACCCACAGAGTCCGACTTCTTAAGGCAAAAAGCATTCTCATGCGTCAAATACATGCTTTTTGAAGTTTCTGCTTTTTTTGTGGTTACCATAGCAGCTGAGAGATTCTCTGCAGTGCGCAATCCTCTGACATTCAAGCAAAAATCCTCTAAATCTCGAGCAGCAAAGATATCAGCAGGACTCTGGGTGCCAACAATTATTGTTGGTGGGATTCTGATATTCTTACCAGAGACTGTTTTTCGTCACATCATCTTTTGGATTCCTTCCATTATCAATACTGTCTGTTCAATAGCCATTCTTGTTCTGTACATCTATATAGTAGCTAAAGTAGGCAAGCAATCAGCACAGTTGCGAAACCGTCCCAAGCGAGCAGGCAAGGTTTTCTGTATGGTAATCGTCAATACTGCTGTTTTCTTAATTCTGAACTCACTGGACATAGCAACTGAAATTATTGTCATTGTGAACACGTATATTTCCCCTGCCCGAGAAGATGAACGTCTTCAATTTGGAGAAAAATTATTTGTTCTAGTTATATGCATAGAAATCTTCAGACTCGTAAATAGCTCAATCAATTCCCTGGTCTACAGTGCCACAAACGCTGACTATCGTGCAGCTATAGTCGAGGCTTTCTCATTCCTGAAACTGTGCTGTCGTTGCTGCCCAAGACGGAATCCCAGCCGACCATCGCAGCCAAGGAAGCAGATTGAACTTCGTGTGATTCCAAAGGCAGAAAATGACCAAGAGCACCGTGCTGCCAGTCCAAGCAGCAGCAAGCCACCAAGCCAAGGGCATGCACAACACACAGAGAGTCAGCAGTCGGACAGCTGTCAAGAACAATGTTCCAGGCAAAGCAGCAGTAAGGCATCCATGCACAGTCAGCAGCATGTTCAAGTGCATGTTGAGGTACATGCAGAACCAGCGGGGACCCCAGCACTTGCAAGTTCTCATCAGGAACAATGCTCTAGTCGGACTGACTGCAAGTCATCCATGCAAGGGGAACAGTGTGTACATCTAGAACCAGCAGAGAGCCAGCAGTCACTTGCAAGTACTCAGGAACAATGTCCTGGGCTGACTGGCACCGAGCCATCAGCACAAGGGCAGCAGTATGCACATCCAGAACCAGAAGGGAGTCAATAGTTGGAAAGTTGTCAAGAACAATGTTCTCTGGCAACTGATGAGTGCAAGCCATCCACGTAAGGGCAGCAGTGAGCACAGTCAGTGTGTTTTTGAACTTGCTGTGTGGTGTTCAAACTATAGAGCGGTTTTAAGGCTTTTCACATCTTTTTCATTGGCATGCCAAGTAGATTTGACATCGAGAAACATAAACAGCATAATATGCTGGAGTTGAAATGTGTTAAATTACTTTAGCAGATTGCTAATTTGTATGCACATGACATCAGAAATGTGCAGGCCCAGAGCAGATTGCAACCAACTATCAGTGAAGGGAACAACTGGAACTCACTCAATGTATGTATGGAAGTAGTTCAGAAATTATAAATTCTATAGAGTTTATTTGTTACTTAAATGAGGTTTTTGTGTGTGTTAGGCCCCCCCAAAAAATAAGTCGGTCTCTGGTCAGCGAGCGCGTCGATTTTAATCATGCGCGTCAATCTTTTTTTTCCCCAAATGGTTCCGAGGAAGCTCCAACAGCGCCCTCTATTTCCGCACCTCCTCAATTTTTTTTTACCAAAGAGCACCAAGGAATGGGAAATTGCACCAAGGCAAATGATCGAAAGCACCAATGCAAATTTGGAGTACACCAATGTACATGAGAACACCAAAAAAGCAAAATAGTACCCACCTTGTCTGTACAATCCAAGCTTGAAGAAACCCCCCCCCCCAAAAAAAAACGCGTGGCCGCGTCAATTTCGGAACTTTGGTCTGACCAGAGACCGAATATTTTTTTTGTTTGGCCTTATATGAGCAAGTTTGTTAATTTTTCATGTGAAAATATACAAGTATTGGGGATATTGGCACAAATATACCCTGCACTTTTCCACTGTAAATATGTATGTTTTTAAGTGCCTTTGAAACAGATTTTGAGGTTTTGATTTTATGAAATACACCTCTTTAGATAAGTCCTAGGATGTTGCAAGTTTTAATTTTTTTATGATAGTGCCAAGATCTAAATTTATGAGCAATACAGTGATGTCATGAGCTGGAACTTCAGTGTCACTGTTGTTTTAAGACAAAAGTTACAAAAGTGATTTAGTCGAGGTTGATGTGACTGTCTTGTTCATTTAGTACATGGCAGGCAGTCAATAGGTACTATTAATGCACAAACCGCTATGTGCACATGTATTTAATGCAATGAATTTTAGGTTCATAAATTACTTAGAAAATCCCAAAGCTGTAAATATCACAGCAACCAATTATTAAAGTGTACACGTATGCAAAAAAAGTGCACTGGAAAAAAAAAGATTACAATTATCTAGTTGTTAATCATTACTTTCATATAAACACGAGGCTTGGATATTTTCACGTTTTTAGTGAAATTCATCCAATGGCCTTTTAATTCTGTTATATATATGTAAAAAGACCTTGAGAAATCCAAACCGTGGAGTGCAATATGAACTCTTGAAAGAGCACAAACTGTAGGATTATCCTTAACGAGGGTTCAATGCTTAGAGAGCAAACTCACCGCAAATCCAAAATGTCTTGGGAGGTTTTGGATCTCAATCTTGAAAATCTCTGAGGTGAAGTGCTGTTGCGTCAGATAGTGATAAGGATCCGTTATGGCAGCGCCAGTCACTGGTACGTCAGAGGTGCTGGTGGAATGGTTATCTTGTGGGTCGAGGCCTAATATACAAAAACGGACAACTTAAATTACCAACTCCAATCATAGAAAATAAATTTAGTTTGATATTTTTTAAAGGGAATGTACATCATTGGCTTTTGCTGTAATGAACTATTTGAGGGGTTAGTATAATACATGTAGATCAAATATTGTTACACCGACATTTTTGAAGTTTTGTGTTCAAAAATGCTGAAAAAACCAAGAAAAAAAAATACGTTCAAGTAGTCTGGTTCCCTGACTCCACTAAAGATGAAATTGATCAATTTAAAGATGCCAGAAAAATGTAAGGTAAGGGAACCAGTCTAGCTGGCCTGCACCCGTTCAGGAACATGTAACCAATAGCAAACAAAATTTGGACTAAAAAAAAGGTAAATTTGGAGCAGTAGTTAAAAATAGTTAGGTTTTTCCAACAATGGTCAGCCGACCACCGTTGAAAATTTATACAAAAATACCACTTTTCTTGAAAATGACTTCACACCTGGTGCCATAATTTTACAGGATGCTTTAGACTGTCATTTACCAACATCCTATTAAGGTATTTCGTAAAAATTTGGTCGTTTTGTTTTTTGATGTTTGCAAATGTTGTTTATTCCATTTAAGCATGAGATATTTTCTAAGTTTAATTACGAGTTTTCAAGTGAGACACTGCACAACAAAATCAGTTCACAATAACAACCAGATCAATAAATTTTGAATAAGAAGCATTCCAAAGTTGAATAGTCTTAATATACACTGTAACAAACCCATGGATATTTGAAAAATCAATGCTACAAAATATGAATGTCTTTGTAAAGTTAGAGATTAACCTGTATATATCTTAATTTGGATGGCTCCCAAAAATGACCCATTTCTACAGTTCATATAAGCTGCTATTTTGTGTGTGTGTGTAATTAAATACTACCAAACACAAATAATGCTTTGTACTATCACCATTCTGATATTTGAGCTGGTATGGTTTTCTGATACTTCATCACAGAGCTGACATACCGACGAATAAGCGAAAACCCTGTTTCAAGTAATTCGCGTTTGAAGTTGGACATTTTTCTGGGCGTCATATTTTACCCTTTAATGTTTCGATAATAACCCTTTTAGTGTACATGTATATTCGAAATAAAATAGGAAACGTAGTATCCATCAGGTTACTTATTTAATCAGAGAAGTTGTGCGATATGATTTTATTTGATCGTAAACGTATTCGTCAGTTTGTCAAAGTACAAATTATCTCTAATAGCCGGTTGATCTTCACACTGTGTGTATGCTTTTCGTCAGTTTGTCAGACACGCGCGCAATCCGACAAACTGACGAATAACATTCGTTGGTACTTTGAACGCACATCTTACATGAGCTGGTTACCAGCGAAATGTTTGTATGCTATTCGTCAGTTTGTCGGATCACGCGCGCACTAAAAATAACAAAATCTCGAAATCACCAAAATGGTCGATTCGCCGGTATGTCAGCTTTGCGATGACTTGATACTTTGTTGATGCTTCGTAATATTTTGATATTTCATTTTCCTTTTTTTTTAAAATGTGTTTTGGATTAATTAATCAATCAAAAGAATGTTTTAAGATATGAATGGCTTTGTAAACTTTGCATTCACTCATCAGAAATTAATAAGTTTGACAGTTCAACAAAGGTGCAAATGTTTACAAAATTGAAACAATGAAACTGTTTTGCAGCAAATTAAGTCATTTGGCCAAAAAATATCAAGTAATTGGCAAGAATGGAGGAAATCAAATGAATGGGATTACACTTAGCTGACCTGGCAAAGGGGCAAACGTCTTCACCAAGTAAAAGAATAACAAGTCACCTTTGGATTTGTCCTCTTTATCTTGATTGGGAATAGCATCCATAGTGATGGCCACATCTGTTGGCATCTTGACAACATCACCCTCCGTAACTGTGGTTGACGTTACCTCCCCAGTTGGGACATCATCAGAAGTTGCTCCCTGCTTCTCATCCATTTTGGTGTTATTACGTTGGACCAAAAACACACTGGATATATAAAGAAATTGCACATAAAGCAGTTGCATACTATTGAAAGCCATGACCAGTGGGATATCTAGGGGGAGGGGTCGAAATTTGAAATCACAACGCGCACCTGAAACTAGTATGGTAACTACTTTGTGTACATGTCTCTACGCAGTGTGACGTATATTTGGATACCAAATATTAAAACGTTAACGGAGAAAACACTTCAAATTTTTCAGACCAGTCTCATAGGGTTTGTGCACCGGGTGTCAAGTGATGTCCAGGTATGGAACTCTTTCCAATAGTTGTTCCCCCAGCTCTAGCTTGAGAAACTCTAGTCTGAAAATTTGGAACTCTCAATACTGTCTATGAGAGTTTTTTCTCAATCTCATAAATAGGTTTATACACATGGTCCATCACGCGGTGATCGCTATCTTTATTTTCGTGTTGCGTTTTGTCGTTGCCATCGTCATTTTACCCCAAAATTTCCCTCAAATATTCAACACTGCCCTTTATCTATGACATATAATTATGTTCTTAAAGTCGCCAACTTTGAACTAGTTTGGGTGGTCACATAATTTTTCCAAGAGGATGCGGCTTGATGTTAACATTGAAATTTTGGCGATCATGAAGTGTAGGGCCCTAGCTGGAGTTACCCAGCCCTGAGTTTTATCATTGGGTTGTCATCTGGGGCTGGAGCGAGTTTTTCTCGTAACTTGTAGTATAGGCAAAAAAATTTGGAAAATGTTCAATTTTGTCCCCGTTACACACTAATTGCAACTGCAACTCACCCCAAACTTGCCTGGAATAACCATTACACAGGTCCTTGAAGTAAAAAACGATCCACGATGAAGATTCAGCCTACAATTGCAGTGAAAACAGGAGGAATAACCGCTAACCTGACAACCTTTCAGGCATGGCCAGGACCGCAATTGGTTTGTGCACAAAAAAAATTGTGTACAATGAATGGCGGTCGATTAACAGGCACAGCCACAGAGAGCGATCGCTGTTAACTACTCGTTTTTGCCGGCTGCGCTGGCTGTTGGCGCATGACGTCACGCGGAAGCGTAACACCCGATGACTGTTTTATGCACTATTGGTTGCGGTTCCAGCTGTGATGCGAGTGGTAAACCTTATATTAGTGCACAAACCAATTGCGGTCCTGGCCATGCCTGAAAGGTTGTCAGGTTAGCGGTTATTCCTCCTGTTTTCACTGCAATTGTAGGCTGAATCTTCATCGTGGATCGTTTTTTACTTCAAGGACCTGTGTAATGGTTATTCCAGGCAAGTTTGGGGTGAGTTGCAGTTGCAATTAGTGTGTAACGGGGACAAAATTGAACATTTTCCAAATTTTTTTGCCTATACTACAAGTTACGAGAAAAACTCGCTCCAGCCCTAGATGACAACCTAATGATAAAACTCAGGGCTGGGTAACTCCAGCTAGTAGGGCCCCTGTTTTGTTTTTATCAAATTAGAGTAAAAAATGTTTTTTATTGCTCAAAAATCACCTTTACAATTAGCTTGAGTAACTCCAGCTGACATGTTCCATATTCATTCACATGTGAATGAATATGAGCATGTCAGCTGGAGTTACTCAAGCTACTTTACAATCAAAAGCAGACTTTTCTCAATTCTAATGACACCCGTTTTGCAATTTTGAACAGACTCTTGGGGTAAAAATCCTGATTTTCCAGCACAGTTTTTGCCCTGCGATTCAGCGCGCAGTGATCGCCATCCTTATTTTTGGGTCACGTGTTGTCGCCGTGCTGTCATCATCATTTTACCCCCAAATTTCTCTGAAAAAAAATCAAAACCCTGCCCTTTAATCTATGACATACCTGTTTATTGAGAATGTCGCCAACTAGTTTTGTAGGTCCAATAATTTTAAAGTGGATTTTGTTTCCTTATAGGAACCGGGCCCTACACCACACGATAGCCGAAATTTTTAAGTAAGCATCTCAAACTTTTCACGAATTAGATACAACGCTATTTAACGCAGTACGTCTACGGCTACTTCTGCAGTACGTTTCACTAAATAAAATAATGCAGATTTCACCAATAGCTAACCAAATTAATGTTACCATTAATTAAAACAAACTTATCTGCTGATACTGACGTAATAAGAAAGTTTTCAGCCAGTCGGGAAGAATTCGGGGAGCGCCAGATTTACAAGAGTCGCGTGTTTATGTTGTTGAATGCTGCCCTCATGTGTCGCGCGATATACGCGATCGATTGGCAGCATGCAAGCCGTTTCGAAACCTCGGCCTTCGTCGCAGTGTCGCAGCTTCATCATTGAACTGACATCCTTTTTAAACAAGATGCATGCGTCTCCCGTAACGGAAGCCCCAAAAATACTTACTCGTCTTTTCTTATTTGACAACCCACGCTTTCTGAGTAGCTGTGTGGAAATGACATATTCTTCTTCAAATTATTATAATAGACGAAGCCGCCTTGGGAATGAATCGAATTTTGGAAAACCCTTTAAACCCACGTCTTCTTTTTTTCTCCCTGGAGGGCGCTGTTTACGCTGAACACTAGTTTTTCCCCTTGATTTTTCCCCCAGAATTTATTTAGGTGATTATTCAAGACAAAGGAGTTGTTGAACATGGCTATTCATGTGGTAGGTACCCAAGAGATTCTAGAAAATTATTTATATTTTTTAGTTGGACATCTCGTCGTAAAAGTAATTAAAAAAAAAAAAAAAAAGCAAAATGTGAAATCGCCCAGTTTCCGGACACTTCACAGTTCACTGTTCACAATATTGAATGCCTGCTGATCGCTAGTGCTAGTAGGAGGCTTTTTGGGAAAGATTCCCATATCTGGCCATCTCTAATGTTTTCCTTCAGTGACCTATCACTCAGCCATTAGAAGAAATTGATAACATCATAAATATGTCCTAATAAGTCAAATTTAGCAGGGAATTTATTGGGGTATTTACTGAGAAAACACTTAGATATTTTCAGACCAGTCTCATTGTGCACAGGATGACATTGACAAGTGATGGCCAGATATTGGAATCTTTCCAAAAAGAACATGCTTAGGGGGAGTTAGGGTCCTGCTTTTTTTTAAAAAGGAAGGGAGGCCTTTTTTTTGGTCCTCCAAAATGTTTGCCCGACCGGGTTTTTTTTCAAGATGGCTGCCAGTTGGTTTTATGGCTGCCAGTTGGTTTTTTTTTTAAAGCCCGCCATTGGACTCAGCAAATTACTTAACAGCTTTATATCGAAATATATATATAAGCTCCATGTATATATAAGCTCCATGATGTAACAGATACAGTGTAAGAGGCCAAACTGATGTCACTGTTGAACATTTTTTTAAAGATTTCCATATACGAAGTTCACTAATTTTCCTCTGTATTGACTAACAAGCCCCCAGATTGCAATTTCATGTCATCAAGGTCAATTTGAGCAGTGAGAAAATACAAGCATTTTCTTAGAAAACACTTAGAATTTTTCAGTCCAATCTCATAGGGTTTGTACACAGGGTGTTGAGTGAACTTCGCATATGGAAATCTTTCCAAATTTTTTAAAAGTTTGGTTTAAAAAAAAAAAAAGGAGCCTGAGGAGGCAGCCTCCAAAAAGGAAGCAGGCGGGGACGCTTAACATGATTTTGTTTTTTTATTCGGCCTAATTTGTTCCGCCCCCCTCTCCACTTTGAACATTTCTGTGAAGATTTTGATTGAGTAGAAAATGAGATTTTCCACTGATTTTATTGGCATTGCCGTTTTATACATTTACATATTTTTTGTTAAAATCATACAAATTTGACTGTTGACATTTTTTCTCAATTGTTTTTTCGCAATTGTAGGCGCATCCATCAGTGCGGATGAAAGGCGCTGAGGCAGACTGGACGCCCATACAATGCACAGACAGGGAGTGTAGCCACTCCTTGATGAAGGCTCCGCATCTGCACTGTCCATTCTGCTCTCAGGACAGTCTCTTCACTGATGAGATTCTCCTCAAGGCGCACTACAGGGTCAAGCACGTGGATAAGGGCATCAACTTTGGGGGTGAGTTTGCATTTGGGAACAAGACCAAGCTCTGGCATACTTGTGACTGGATCCCAAGAAATAAGTTTTAGGTTAAGGACAATGTTTTCACTTTCTCTTCACGAGTCATGCTACAAGATGACTTGTGGTCCGTGTTTGTGAAAAGTTTTGTGAGTGGAATTAAGTCGAAGGGAGTGGACAGCATTGGCATTTGTTGAAGTTTTATGAAATTGACAGATACCTGGGCTGGTTATTCAGTGTTCGATAGACCTAATTGTCACAGGCCATGCCCAAGCGCCGGCTGTGTCTCGGAAGAAACTTTGCATCCCTGCCTGAACAAGAGTCCTAACTCAGGTCAATAGCTTACTTGTGCCTGTTACAGCAAGAGAACCATATAAAAAGATCCATAGTTCATGTTTTGTCAAAGTGCATATGGCTGTCAGCTTTTGTCAAAATTGTCAAACCAATCTTCTACTGTATCCCTCCCCAGGTCTTAAAATATTGCGGTGTTGTAGATCCTGCATCGTCCACGGCATCATTCACGAGCAGAAATGCTTCAAGGGTGCCCACTGGCACTGCTACCACTGTCGCAACGGGTTCAGCAGGAGGGACGAGGCTATGAAGCACTACCAGCAACACTTCCGTAATCCAGAGACCACAATACAGATAGTCATTACTCGGGTACAGTATGTCATGGTCAATTTTACATTCACGTAACTTCAGTCTATTCCAGTGGGCACATCAGACTGCATATACAATACATGTCAACTACAATTAAACTGTGTCAACAGTGATAAGCTGTTAAACACTGGCACAGGTTGGTCAAACTACCATGGTTCACTCAGAAACTGTTTCAAATTGCTGATGCTTGAATTCCAAAACTCATTGGACTTATTTATAGCTTACACCCAAACAGAACGCAACCCATGAAACCCCAACGGAATGTGTTTTGTTGGAATCTGTTGGGATGGGTACAGTACCCCTAAACTTAGTCAGAAATATGTGTGTGTGCCGTTTCCCATATGGTGTTGGAATTTGCCAGGATGGGTATGGTTCCTAGTAAATCATGCAGGGGATTTAGGGTTAAAAGACTCTCTGAAATAAATTTCACAATCAAACATTTGACTCAAGTATCCATTCTTTTGAGAATGATTTTTGGCTGAAAAGTGTTTGAAAATGCACTTATTTTTAACCTTCACAGTTTCAGTGCTGCTTCACGACAACTGAGTATTCCGTTATTGTGATGTAATGGTCCCCTTTCATAATCTGCATGAAAAAAAACAATGAAATAAATTTAATCAGTTGAAATTTATGTACGTTGTGAGCAGGTATGGTAGTTCTACAAGGATTTGGGTGCATTGTATCAAATGCCAACACTTCGTGCCTTTTAAAATAATTAGGTCTGAACCAAATTTATCACTGTACGTTTGTGTCGTAAATCTTTTGCAACCCTGCAGGTTTTGTCTCATTTTATCATCCTCTACCACTTCACTCCACCATTTTTACCCAGGATGTCAACCAGATCTTCACCACATACACCGACCCAGCACCCAACAGTGCCAGCCTTGTAACACACCTCATAGTCCCCCAGTCACAGCAGCCATCGGAGACGGACACATCATCCCCGAGCTATGAGCAGACTGACGGGCAGCAGCCGCAGATCGAGTACCAGTACGCCTGCATCAATGATCCAAACCAGAGCACTGCCAATGGGGAAGGTAAGATGGTAAGAATATTAACCCTAATCCTCCAAGATCCTTCAGCATCTACCCAGAGGTCAGGGAGGAAAAGGCCACCAGCAGTGAAGGATAATTAGAAGAAGCTGAGTAAAAGCCAAGAGGGAAGCATTTGATGCAAGGAATAAATCTTCCCCCAACCCCCCACTTTGTTTTCAATTGATATATCGTGAATCCATATGGAAGAAGGGAATGGGTGGACAACAGCATGTTTAATACAGTTGTCTTCACTCCTGCACTTGTTTAGTCATTAAAATAAACAAAACAACCACCAAAAATTCAGGATTTTTTAGGGGGTTGGGGCGGGTGAGGGCCCATATTGACACAAATTGAAATTACAAGGTGCAAAGAGTGTGCCATTGGTGTTATTTAAGTTGATGGATTTTGGAGGATTCGAGAAGGTTCAAAGCAAAACAATTTTGAAAGCTGACTACAGTTAATTAAATATTGGAATTTGTCCTTCACCCTGCCCACCTTACGTTAGTAATAAGGTTACAAAGTAGTGATTGCTTGCACCCAGTTTATATGTATAAGGAATAAAATGTCCTTGTCACACACTGCATCACTTGGGACTTCCTTGTCTGTATCTTCTTTTTGCCGCTACATATTATCTGTCCCCATTCAAGCGCAACATACATGGCAACCTTTCTACTCCGTAAATTCCTCCCGTCTTTTCACCTCTTTGTGTAGCCCACACCTGGAGTGACCTTGTTCTGAGGGACTTTCATTAGCACAAGAATCACTATCCAGGACAATTACTCAACCTTTCCCTCGACCGTTCTGTCCTCTCATAAACAGTTGTCTTTATTGAGATACCAGACGAAGGAAGCAAAGGGGATTTTGAGGGCGAGACATGCTACACAGAGCACAACTTGTCGCTGCTGCTGCAGGAGAAGGAACGTCTGGAGAAGACTCTTGAGGAGGAGCGGACCACGTGGGCCCAGACAGAGCACAGGATGAAAGGCACTATAGAAAGGCTTCGTACAAAGGTAAGTGGGCGTTCCATCTGGTCTTGGTCTGAGAATGAGTTTGGATCTTGTTCCCTGAATGCAACAGGTACCAAGGGCGTCAATCGCTTCTCAAAAGTGGGAGGGGGGGGGGTGGACATACCTTGATCAGAACTAATACGGGCACGAAGCTGAATATTCTAAAAATTTTGGATTCTAGACTTTCTGTGTTGCAATCTGAGGCAATTTCTGACCACTTTCTTTTCAGCAAAAGACCATCAGTTAAACATCATATTCGATTTCGGAATCATTGCCTTAGCTATTCTGAGCTGTGGAATCAAATGTGGGCTACACTTCTTATTCGGGGATTGAAAAAGTGGAGGGGGGGGGACTAATGATATGATATATTTTTTAAAAAGGACATGTTTCCCCCCATCCCCCAGTATCAACACCCCTGACAGGTACACATACCTGACAAGTGTGGTCAAGCCACTGCAGTACCAGAGGACGCTGTCAACAAACTTGAATCAAATTGCACCACAGATGCTCTACACAAGGATCAATTACTTTTCCCAAATTTCTGGTTGTAGGCGAGGTGTGGCACTTGTTTGTCATGCGTGCACATGCGCGAGACTAAGCGCGTGAATGCGTTCTTTCAGTGGTCAGATTTTTGTCAGGATGCCAGCTGTGGGCGATCATGGCGCATGTGCATTGTTCTACATTTTCTATACGTATTCCTATCAAATATGATAGAAATAGACCAACTGTTCCACACATTTTGTACACAAGCTCAGATGAGTCGTTTATCCTTGTGTAGAGGATCCGTGGTTGCGCTCGTACTCTAGTTGCACTCATAATTGGGCAACAACATATGTGCCTCCGTAGGCAATCATGCTCGAACTGCACTGAATGGACATTTGGCGTGTGCAGTCATGGTTGTGATTGGTTACACATCATGGGGCAGGGCTTAATGGTCTATTAAAATTCCATCTGTAAACAAATAATTTCTCTGCCCATCCTTCTTGCCCTCCAGGTTGAGTATTTGTCCAACACAAACACGTCACTCAAGCAGCAGCTGTCCATGATGCACACGTCCAGTTTGAAACGTCTGACCAACGACAGCGAGAACCAGTCCATTTTGCAAGAGTTACTGCAACACATGTCTGAGGAGCACACCCAGCTGCTGCACCACCATCTAGCACAGCTGCGGCTGTACGCTCAGGCCTGCGCATTATCCAAACCAGCCCCCGAGGAATCTGCATCCAGCGGGTCTGCAGTCTTGGTACCAGACCTGGCCGACCAGTCACAGGACATCTCACACATGGCCATGATGTCGTCCTCGGAGGACACCATTGGGAACATGGAGCAGACAGTCGTCATGACGATAACGTCGGAGGAGGATTCAGAGCCGCTCGGCAACATCGTGGATAACCCCGGAGATACCGTGGGACACGAGGCCTTGACTTTGGATAAGGACGTTCAGTTGTCACCAAATGACATTCCGTACCAACTGACAAGTGAGGGACTGTCACCAAGACATGCCACCTCTGAGTCGGGTCACATTTATCAATCAGGTAGAACTCATCCACGTCACAATACAGGCTGTGATGTCATGCAACAGGATTTTCACAACAACAAAAGTTTGAAATTGATTCTTTCCAACAGCACGCCAAAAATATTCTGCCCCAATGGCTTTGACACGAGAACGAATGAAGACGACATGTCAAATGAGGAACCACCATTAAAACGTGGGAGAACTAACAGCCTGAAGGCCACTTAACTAAATAAAACCTGACATATTTTGTAAACAGTGTACACTCAGTGTTGTCTGAGGGCTTAGTTGGGGGGGGGGGGACTTGAACTAATGAGTTGAGTCTTCATGGAAGTTTGTCTTACCTGAATGAAAAATGTTACCAAAGAAACTGACCTTGGTCTCTCCTATCTTTTCGAGTTCTCGATGGGTAATCCCGAATCCGCTCAGTGAATGGGCGTCGTTGTAGGCCCAAACAGATCCATGTAGGTCCTCAAACACTTTACATCTATCACTGAAACATAAACAATTATGATTTATTGGCTCCTATGTATAAAAACTAGCATTTGCTTTTACTACGTATTTTTAAGCATTTACTTTGATTTGCGTGAATAAAAAAAAAGCAAATGCTTTCTCTATTTCCTTCAAGCGAAAATATTTGCTTTTTACTTTTTAACTTTTGCTAGACTAGAAGTGGGGACTGGATTCAACTTCAAAATATAAAGCCGTTCAATTGACCTCAAAATAAATAAAATTTATAATCTAAAAGTCCCACAGTGGGACTTGAACCAGCAACCTTCCAATTTAGAGTCAGCAGTCCATACCACTTGACTAAGCACAAATTCACATCACTTAGTGGTTACGAAATTCACTATAAAGTTTCAATTGACCTAAAAAGTAATAAAATTTCACAAACTGAAATTCCCACTGTGGGATTGAACCTGCAACCTTCAGATTTAGGGTCAGCAATCCGTACCACCCGACTAAGCATAACTTAACACTTTTTTTGCTGTTACGAAATTAACTATAAAGTTTCAATTAACCCAAAAAGAAATAAAAGTTTTCAATGTAAAATTCTCACCCTGGATTTGAACCTGCAACCTTCAAATTTAGAGGCAGCAGTCCGTACCATTGGACTAAGCAAAACTTCACACTTTTTAGTGGTTACGAAATTAACTATAAAGTTTCAATTCACCTAAAAAGTAATAAAAATTTTAAAATCTATAATTCCAACTGTGGGATTGAACCTGCAACCTCCAGATTTCTAGAGTCAGCAGTCCGTACCACACAACTAAGCACAACTTCACACTTTTTAGCTGTTAGGAAATTAACTATAAAGTTTCAATTGAACTAAAAAGTAATAAAATTTTAAAATCTAAATTTCCCACCGTGGGATTGAACCTGCAACCTCCATATTTAGAGTCAGCAGTCCGTACCACTAGACTAAGCACAATTTCACACCTTTACACTAGTTTCGAAATTAACAATAAAGTTTAAGTTGACCTCAAAATTAATAAAATTTCGTAACCTAAAATAACGCTGTGGGATTTGGACCTGCAACCTTCCGACTCAGAGTCAGCAGTCCACACCACTCGACTACCACAATTTAATACTGTACACTAGTTTGGAAATTGACTATAAAGTTTAAGTTGACCTCAAAATTAATAAAATTTTGTAACCTAAAATTACGCTGTAGGATTTTAACCTGCAACCTTCCAATTCAGAGTACCTTTAGACTAAGCACAACTTCACACTTTTTAGCTGTTACAAAATTAACTATAAATTTTCAATTGACCTAAAAAGTAATAAAATTTTAAAATCCAAATTTCCCACCATGGAATTGAACCTGCAACCTCCAGATTTAGCGTCAGCAGTCCGTACCACTAGACTAAGCACAACTTCACACTTTTTAAGCTGTTAAGAAATTAACTATCAAGTTTCAATTGACCTAAAAAGTAATAAATTTTAAAATCTAAATTTCCCACCGTGGGATTGAACCTGCAACCTCCAGATTTAGAGTCAGCAGTCCGTTCCACTAGACTAAGCACAACTTCACACTTTTTAGCTGTTACGAAATTAACTATAAAGTTTCAATTGACCTAAAAAATAATAAAAAATTTAAAATCTAAAATTCCCACTGTAGATATAAAATTTTTAAATGTAAAATTCCCACCGTGGGATTGAACTTGCAACCTCCAGATTTAGAGTCAGCAGTCCGTACCACTAGACTAAGCACAAGTTTCAATTTACCCAAAAAGATTTAAAATTTTTAAATGTAAAATTCCCACCCTGGAATTGAACCTGCAAATTTAGAGTCAGCAGTCCGTACCACTGGACTAAGCACATCTTCACACTTTTTAGCTGTTACGAAATTGACTATAAAGTTTCAATTGACCTAAAAAAATAATAAAATTTTAAAATCTATAATTCCAACTGTGGGATTGAACCTGCAACCTCCGGATTTAGAGTCAGCAGTCCGTACCACTAGACTAAGCACAACTTCACACTATGTAGCTGTTAAGAAATTAACTATAAAGTTTCAATTGACCTAAAAAGTAATAAATTTTAAAATCTAAATTTCCCACTGTGGGATTGAACCTGCAACCTCCAGATTTAGAGTCAGCAGTCCGTTCCACTAGACTAAGCACAACTTCACACTTTTTAGCTGTTAAGAAATTAACTATAAAGTTTCAATTGACCTTAAAAATAATAAAAATTTTAAAATCAAAAATTCCCACTGTGGGATTGAACCTGCAACCTCCAGATTTAGAGTCAGCAGTCCGTACCACTGGACTAAGCATAATTTCACACTTTTTAGTGGTTACAAAACTAACTATAAAGTTTCAATTTACCCAAAAAGAAATAAAATTCTAAAATCCAAAATTCCCACCCTGGATTTGAACCCGCAACCTCCAGATTTAAAGTCAGCAGTCTGAACCACTGCACTAAGCATAATTTCATGCTTTTTAGTGGTTACGAAATTAACTCTAAAGTTTCAATTTACCCAAAGAGATATAAAATTTTTAAATGTAAAATTCCCACCCTGGATTTGAACCTGCAACCTTCAAATTTAGAGTCAGCAGTCCGTACCACTGGACTAAGAAAATCTTCACACTTTTTAGCTGTTACGAAATTGACTATAAAGTTTCAATTGACCTAAAAAAATAATAAAATTTTAAAATCTATAATTCCAACTGTGGGATTGAACCTGCAACCTCCGGATTTAGAGTCAGCAGTCCGTACCACTAGACTAAGCACAACTTCACACTATGTAGCTGTTAAGAAATTAACTATAAAGTTTCAATTGACCTAAAAAGTAATAAATTTTAAAATCTAAATTTCCCACTGTGGGATTGAACCTGCAACCTCCAGATTTAGAGTCAGCAGTCCGTTCCACTAGACTAAGCACAACTTCACACTTTTTAGCTGTTAAGAAATTAACTATAAAGTTTCAATTGACCTTAAAAATAATAAAAACTTTAAAATCTAAAATTCCCACTGTGGGATTGAACCTGCAACCTCCAGATTTAGAGTCAGCAGTCCGTACCACTGGACTAAGCATAATTTCACACTTTTTAGTGGTTACAAAACTAACTATAAAGTTTCAATTTACCAAAAAAGAAATAAAATTCTAAAATCCAAAATTCCCACCCTGGATTTGAACCCGCAACCTCCAGATTTAAAGTCAGCAGTCTGAACCACTGCACTAAGCATAATTTCATGCTTTTTTATAATAGTGGTTATGAAATTAACTATAAAGTTTCAATTTACCCAAAGAGATATAACATTTTTAAATGTAAAATTCCCACCCTGGATTTGAACCTGCAACCTTCAAATTAAGAGTCAGCAGTCCGTACCACTGGACTAAGCACATCTTCACACTTTTTAGCTGTTACGAAATTGACTATAAAGTTTCAATTGACCTAAAAAAATAATAAAATTTTAAAATCTATAATTCCAACTGTGGGATTGAACCTGCAACCTCCGGATTTAGAGTCAGCAGTCCGTACCACTGGACTAAGCACATCTTCACACTTTTTAGCTGTTAAGAAATTAACTATAACGTTTCAATTGACCTAAAAAGTAATACATTTTAAAATCTAAATTTCCCACTGTGGGATTGAACCTGCAACCTCCAGATTTAGAGTCAGCAGTCCGTTCCACTAGACTAAGTACAACTTCACACTTTTTAGCTGTTAAGAAATTAACTATAAAGTTTCAATTGACCTAAAAAGTAATAAATTTTAAAATCTAAATTTCCCACCGTGGGATTGAACCTGCAACCTCCAGATTTAGAGTCAGCAGTCCGTTCCACTAGACTAAGCACAACTTCACACTTTTTAGCTGTTACGAAATTAACTATAAAGTTTCAATTGACCTTAAAAATAATAAAAAATTTAAAATCTAAAATTCCCACCGTGGAAATGAGCCTGCAAACTCCAGATTTAGAGTTAGCAGTCTGTACCACTAGACTAAGCACAACTTCACACTTTTTAGCTGTTACGAAATTAACTATAAAGTTTCAATTGACCTTAAAAATAATAAAAATTTTAAAATCTAAAATTCCCACTGTGGGATTGAACCTACAACCTCCAGATTTAGAGTCAGCAGTCCGTACCACTGGACTAAGCATAACTTCACACTTTTTAGTGGTTACAAAATTGACTATAAAGTTTCAATTGACCTAAAAATATAATAAAATTTTAAAATCTATAATTCCAACTGTGGGATTGAACCTGCAACCTCTAGATTTAGAGTCAGCAGTCCGTACCACTAGACTAAGCACAACTTCACACTTTTTAGCTGTTAAGAAATTAACTATCAAGTTTCAATTGACCTAAAAAGTAATAAATTTTAAAATCTAAATTTCCCACCGTGGGATTGAACCTGCAACCTCCAGATTTAGAGTCAGCAGTCCGTTCCACTAGACTAAGCACAACTTCACACTTTTTAGCTGTTACGAAATTAACTATAAAGTTTCAATTGACCTTAAAAATAATAAAAATTTTAAAATCTAAAATTCCCACCATGGAAATGAGCCTGCAAACTCCGGATTTAGAGTTAGCAGTCTGTACCACTAGACTAAGCACAACTTCACACTTTTTAGCTGTTACGAAATTAACTATAACGTTTCAATTGACCTTAAAAATAATAAAAATTTTAAAATCTAAAATTCCCACTGTGGGATTGAACCTGCAACTTCCAGATTTAGAGTCAGCAGTCCGTACCACTGGACTAAGCATAATTTCACACTTTTTAGTGGTTACAAAATTAACTATAAAGTTTCAATTTACCCAAAAAGAATTAAAATTCTAAAATCTAAAATTCCCACCCTGGATTTGAACCTGCAACCTCCAGATTTAGAGTCAGCTGTCTGAACCATTGCACTAAGCCTGCTTTCATGCTTTTTAGTGGTTACGAAATTAACTATAAAGTTTCAATTTACCCCCCAAAAATAAAATTTTTAAATGTAAACTTCCCACCCTTGATTTGAACCTGCAACCTTCAAATTTAGAGTCAGCAGTCCGTACCACTAGACTAACCACAACTTCACACTTTTTAGCTGTTAAGAAATTAACTATAAAGCTTCAATTGACCTAAAAAGTAATATAATTTTTTAATTTAAATTTCCCACCGTGGGATTGAACCTGCAACCACCAGATTTAGAGTCAGTCGT